TTTTCCTTTTAGCTTTTAACTATTATACTTATAATTAATATAATATTAATTTAAGACTTTATTTATAATATAAATTATAGTTATATAGTTAAATTATATTTTTATTATAGATTTTAAGTTTGAAAATAACTCTTTATATAGTTAAGCTGGCTTAAAAAGAGTTATTTTTAGCTTAGGAACTTTTTTATAAGCTTTAATTATTATTATTCTTAAGTTATTTTTCTTAGCATAGTTTTGGCTTAATGCTTATTAATAAAGTTATAGCTTATTAAGCATTAAATATAAAACCTTATGCAAGTCTTTATTTAAGTTTTATGCTTTTATTTTTATAAATATTATTATTATTTAATTTATATAATAATATTAATAATTAAGGTTTATATTAAAATGCATTTTAATTTTAAGGTATATTATTATAAATATATTAGTTTAATTTATAAAATAAAGGTAATAGGCCTTAGCTTAATTTTTAAATATTTAGGGAAAAACTATATGGAATTAATTTAGTTAAATTTTAGCATAATAATAGATATTAAAAAATATTTTTATCTTATTATTTAATAAATTATATAGGTTTTTAGTATACTTATAAGAGTTATTAAAGGTTTTTATAAATTATATTAACTTTATTAAATTTAAATATTTATTAAAAATATATTATAAGGAAAGAGTTTTATATAAGTTATACTTTTTATTTAATAAAGGTATTTTTAGGATAGCTTAAGGTTATGCTAAGTATAGTATATATTTTTAATATAAGCTTTGTTTTTATTTCTTTATTAATAATAATAGGCTTTATTAGCTATATTAGTTTTTAATGGATTATATTATTAAGTTTAGGTTTTATAATTGCATGCCTAAAGCTAGTAATGGCGATAAATATTGTCCTAAGGATTACCCTTTTAGTAATTATTATTGTTTAAAGCCTGCTTATAGTTTTTATAAAGGCTATATTTATGGTTGCTATTTTTAAAGTTATATACAATATTTATTTATATTTAATTTTAGGGCTAACAGGGCATTATAAAGCTTATTATTAATTTATTTTAATCTTTCTTTAGCTTAGGCTATAGCAATTAACTATAATGCTATAAGTTAATTATTACATCTTATATAAATGCTTTGCATTTAAAGGAAGACTTTTAAATATTATTAATAAGGATTTGGTAGTGCTTTAAATATTACTTATATCCATGCTATATAGTTCTTGTAATAAGTAATAAAAAGGTTGTTATTATAAAGGTTTTATTGCATATAGCTTGCTAAAGTATTTGCTAAATAGGTAATTAGGTATTTTATTAATGCTTTCTATATAGGGGCTGTAAACCATAATTTTAAGTTAATATATTTATAATAAGCTAGGTTAATTAAAGTTTAAGCAAGCATTTTGTTAATTATATACCCTTTAATAAAAGCTAGTAGCTCCTTGGCGTTATTAGCTATTCTTATAAGTTTTTATAATAAATATTATAAGGAGTGAGATTAATAAAATAAAAAGAGATGTTAATAAAATAGGTAATGTTTAGGAGTAAGTTAATAATGGTAATTTAATAAAGAGTAAGTTATGGTTATTAAAAGGAAGAAATTATTAATTCCTTTAAGCCTTGGAAGCTAAGGCTTTTTTTTATCGTTAGGTTCTTCTATATTAGTTAAAAGCATAGTGCATAATTTGCGCTTACTTATAATATAGCGTTGCGTTAGCTTTAGTAATTGCGATAATTGCGAGCCTTATTTATTTAATAGTTGCGATAATTATAAGCTTTGTTTATTAATAAAACGGAGCTTTATTAGGTTTTACCAAAGGATTTAAAAATGGGTTTATAATAAGTTTGTTTTTAATAAAGTCTTATGCATAATGAATATATATCTCTTAAATAGTGATAAATATATATATGGATGTTATAGGGAATGCTACTTGGTTTATTTAATCTTTATAATGTTTACTTAGGGAGTTTAATAATGCAGGGAGGCCTAAAGAAGTAATTATTGCTATATAGCGCTTATTAATAAGGAGGATATGATTTTGGGTTAGGAAAATCCTTATAGGGTTGCCTTTTTTACTTTGTTAATTTATAATGCCTATAATTATTAATTAGTATTAATAAATCTCTTATATGTATAATAATTGTATAGGAAGCAATTATGTATTAATGTTATTCTGTTTAAGTTCTAAGAGGCTATGTGCTTTGTAGGGGATAACTAAAGTAGCCTCTTAATAGCAAGGGTTATACTTGCCAACAGAAATCCTTATAGGGTTGCCTCTTTTACCTTATTAATTTATAATACCTATGACTATTAATTAGTATTAATAGGTTTCTTATATATATAATAATTATATGGGAAGCAATTATGTATTGGTATTGTTTTGTCTAAGTTCTAAGAGGCTACGTGCCTCGGAGGGGATAACTAAAGTAGCCTTCCAAGTGACGAGGGTCGTACTTGCCAACAAAAACGCTCATCTCTACGATTCCTGGTGGACCTGGGCCTTGCAGGACTAACTCAACTCTACCACTCGGCTCGTAATGGCATCGTTGGCTTATCCTCGACCGAGTCGGAGAGCCTCTACATGGATCTGGAGATGACTGTGGCCCATCGACGCCATGATGTCGTCAGTCGAACAAGTGTGCGTTTGGTCAATACTCTCACTGCACTACATGCCACTGCTGAAAAGGAGGAGAGATGGCTGCTATTATCGTTGCTCTCATGACCGCTCCACTCATTTTACGGGCGGCACAGACTTCTCCTTGAGAGTAGACCTCAGCGGGGGCATGACCGGCATTTCGGATCTCAAGGCTCCTCAGAGCTCGAGTGTCTGGCTAGCGAGCTCTCAGCGCGGAAGTCGAATGGCCATGACGACGAGCAGGATCTTGAGACTCTCCCAGAACTGAGTTCAACATGAACGCGGTGCTTCCTGGCGCCGCTTTTAGAATTCTTCGGCAATATCAGCGATGTGGAATTGCTTGTAGCTGGCAGGGATGACACAATCAGCCCCATAGAGGGCGCATTGGCTGGATGGGGATTGAAGTGGACGGTTTCAGTGCTGCTTCTTTCCACGAGACATCGACTATCAAGCATGAGCCGAACGAATATGCGGTGATCCTGGATAACCCAGGCTCGTTTTCGCCAGTGACGCTCTTGGATTAAAACACGCCCGAACTTCTGGCTCAGGTACTCTGAAGTGCGAAGGTTTTCTTTCCTACACGTGGATTTGAAGAATATTCATGATTGATTGTCTACTTTGCATCAGTTCACCGCCTTGGCGCTGACCCCTAGATGTTGCCCTCGAGACCTCGTATCCAGGGTTTAGGTGGTGAACTTCACCATTTTTTTTTTTTGGTAAATTCACCCGTTCTCAAGGCTTACATGCACTGCACCCTCGAGACACCGTGTGAGGACATCGAGATGATTCGCAAGGGGGCTTCGCCACTCATGTGCTCGGACTCGTCAATGCGGTGGTTGGCGGTGAGTCCAGTAGTGCAGTGTGCCAGGTACGCGAATCCATCTTCAATCCATCGGGCACGTAGGATTCTCGGATCAGTTGAGCCAGTCTCACTGAACCATTCCTTCGGGTCTTGTGGAGCTAACCGTACCAATCCTTCCGTCTTGTAGAGCTACTGGACGATCATCCAATTCGTCGGCTTTTTCCATTTGCTGGGCTCACTTTGTTGATCATACGACGCTATGATCTCAGAACTCTGGTCTGGGCCGTTGGTCTGTTAGTCAACACCTCTCTTTGCACAGCAATCAATGCATTCCTCCGGAGAACATCCTCTTTGAAGAACCGCCGAGGTCTTGGTGAACTCCTTCGCTCCTCAACGGGCGTCAAACAAACAGTTTGGAGACTAATGTACCATGCACGGTCAGCATCATTGCCCAGAGCTGCCAAAATGCATGCCAATGGCGTCTAGGCTGTCAGCACATGCACGTAGTTGGTATCCTTCCACAAGTGAATATCTCAACTGCATACATCGCCACAACGGCGGTGATACTGGATGAAATTTTTGATTGACCTATGAATTTTCCTGGACATGCGCCAGGCCACCTTGGAAGTGATTGTTTATTCCGAGGATCTTTATCGAGCGTCACCCCATGTGGAAATTCGCCATGGCCTCAGACAAAGTTGGATATCTCGTTTGTGCACTTCGTGAGGCAGATACGAGGTACCTAGGAACAAGAATACTCTGGTACATGCATGAGTTAAAGGATAGGGATGCTCGGACGACTTGTCTGGGACCCTCCCTGCGAATTAAAGCCCGGCTGCAACATCGTGTCTTCAAATGCTGCTGGATTTCGCACGCTGACAAGCCGCCATGCCCATCCAGACGCCCTGCCTTGTCTTAGGCCACGCCCTACCCTTGAGCAAACTCTGTTTCCCTACTCGAAGTTAGTACCGAAAGGAACATTATCCATATTGCCTAATTTGGTAGAAGGGGGAAAAAGGTGGGCTGGTTTTTGTCGTGCATGCATATGGGCAAGGGTTCTCCATCCCATAGGATGCATCATGATCCAGTATTAGGATCAATGGTGCAATAAAGCATGCATTAGACAATCTGACTACCTCCAGGGCCCATAATAATTGTACTTGGTGTTGGAGTATCAGTATGTGATGCCAGGTACTGTCACATCAGGGTTTCACGAATCAGCTTGGCCATTGATTGGAAGGAAAGCAAAACGTGTGATACATGGGATTCTGAAGTTCTGGACATGGTCAGCACTAGTAGGCCTGAGCATGGAGTGGACATACCAAGGGACCTCGTCCGCGACCCATACTGTATGCCGTAAAATGGACAATGAGAATCCCTCCCTGACGAAGCCCATGCTATCTGAGCTCATAGGCTGGTAACAGCATCGGACCAGAACCGGAGCAAGTACAAATACGATGCAATGACAGTGTGATGTTCTATTATGGGAAGTGTATCTCAGAACATCGGGGACTGTGCCATCCAAAGAGACACCCGCCCAAGACTCAAGCCCAAATCAGCATCATTTCTAGAAACATCATGTCTTTTCCACTTCCGCCGAGGGAGACTGTGCAATGGGACAAACTCAGTCTTGCAGTCCAGGACGAGGGTACGTACTACCTTGTGTAACTGTAATTCTCCGTCTGTCTCTACTGAAGTAGCCAGTTGTACTGACGAGATTAGAATAGTGAACGGACATGTAGAATCCACGTACACGGCCACGGATGAGAAATGGAGCGAGCCCAAGTTCGTGCATGACCCATACATTCGGGTGCACGGTCTCTCACCGGCTCTCAACTACGGTAAGCATCTAGATCCCCATGGCCACAACGCTCTTTTTTTTCTCTGTGGGGTCAGGACTGATGTTTGAGGGTATTTCCAGGTATGCAAGCCTACGAAGGATTGAAGGCCCATCGCGCCTCGGATGGGACCATTCACGTCTTCCGCCCTTCGGAGCACGCCGCGCGCCTCTCCTCGTCGGCTGCCTGCGTGTCCATCCCTGCCATCCCGGAATCCCACTTCCTCAAATGTGTCAAGCTCGCCGTGGCGCGAAATAGTGAGTGGGTCGGCCCGAACAGCTCGGAGGCCCTGCTCTACGTGCGCCCACTGGTCTTTGGAAGCTCAGGGCACCTGGCACTTACGGCCCCTGCCGAGTTCACCTTTGCAGTTTACGTGCAGCCTGGAACCACGTACCATGGTGTACAGCCTCTGCCTGCGTGCGTGATCGAGGACTTCGACCGCGCTGCCCCACGTGGGACCGGCGGCGCCAAGGTTGGTGGCAACTATGCACCGGCCATTCGCTACACTGATAGAGCCAGGGCTGAGGGTTTCCATGTCACTCTGCACTTGGATGCTCAGACACGCACCTGCGTCGAGGAGTTCTCGACCTCGGGCTTCGTGGGCATCAAACATGCCAAAGGAGACACTGGGACCGTTACAGTTGTGGTGCCCGATTCGAACAACGTCGTGCAGAGCATTACCAGCGACAGTGTTCTTGCACTTGCTCGCAGCTTCGGCTGGACCGTGGAGCAGCGTGAGATCCCCTGGTCGGAGTGCAAGGATTTCGATGAGGTCGTCGCCGTTGGCACAGCCGCCTCCCTGCTCCCCATCAGGCTTCTCGTGCGTCCTTCGACAGGGGACAAGTTCATCTACGGAGAAACCGCCGGAGAATGTACCGCAAAGCTGACAGCTGAGTTGAGACGGATCATGCGCGGAGAGGTCCAAGACTCATTCGGTTGGTTGGACAAGGTGACTGCAGACGCGCTCCTCTAACCCAAGCTGGGTTGCACTCGGCTGCAGCTCATGTTGGCTTGTGATGATTGAGTTATTTGCCCATGTGCGATGGCAAATGATGTGAAGCCGGGCGTATCGCATTCGGTTATATCATGGGATTCAGACCCCACACATTTTGATAGTACAAAAGAGGAATAGAAGCCGGAGGATTCTAGAAAAGAGAATGGATTCGTACCGGGGCTGACGTACAGGTTTTCGGATCTAGATTGTGTGACGCTATGGACGCTTGTGGCGCCTAAATCTCACGTAATTAATCACAGATCCACGCAGGGCGGGCTACATTCCATCTTGGTATAGGACGCACCTCCACGTCTGTGAACGCCCTAAAGTGACGCAAGGTGGTTAGTAAGTGAGATGCATGCGCTCACCAGCCGTTTACGTGCATATGTCAGTACTAGGTGTGTACTTGCCTCCGCGTACCTTCCCAACTTTGGTCACGGACCCATGATACGTGCACGTAAGACTATATGTAATTAAACGTCCTCAGCGTGGCCATCATCAAAGACACGGCGTGGCTCGACCCATGCCTAGGCTGGCACACGGCGATTTGCTGAGAGATGATATCAGCATTATTGAAAATTAAAATGGGTCTTCCTACCAGAGCGCCAATGCGCACGTGCTGTGCATGGAATGTCTTGTGCCGAACAACTGTTGTCTTGCCTGTTGTTTTCATCCACCTGTCGCTGTGTTTTCGAGCCAAGAGTGCAAGATGGAGATCACTCACAGGCTCCGTCCTTTGCAGGAACTGCTCTCCGAGCCCGCGAGAGACTGGACAGTCTCAACTTTGAACTCGTTTCCCATCCGGATTTCACCTTTTTTTTCATCAATCGTTGCGTTCCTCATCTTCTGCCTAGTCACGCGTATAATTACAGGACTCAGGGCTTTTTTGCTACGTGTGAACACAAATGCACCACAAAAGACCGTAACTAGGGTTCCCTACTGGGTACCATTCTTGGGATCCGCCTTGTCCTTTATACGGGACGTCGATGGAACGGTGGCAAAAGGCAGGTGTGTAGAACGCAATTCTCAATCTTCACAGACACATGCTGACTTGAACCGAGAGATGTATCTCAGGATGGTGTGATATCTTACCGTCTCGGCCCGAGCAAGTATTATGTAGTCTACATGCCATCCATGGTCTCGCAAGTGTTTGCAGCCAAGGAGTCGGATCTTTCGAAACAGAGGTTGCTGCAATGGTTTTATAATGCCACTATGGAAGATGGCTGGGCCTCTCGCGATGAGCCAGATGCGTTCCACGCTGATCACCATGCACTCAACATGATGCTGAGGGAGGATTTTGTCAAGGTCTCTACCAACAAAACAGCCAGTTCCCTGGAGTCTGAAGCCGCGAGACTTGTCACTAAGCCTTTTCACGAAAAGTCCCGGACCCTTGGCCTGGACTACAACAATTCTTGGGAGCGATATGGTCGAGTCACCTACAATAAAGATGACAGCGCTGAGGCGGATCTGTACGGCTTGATTAACAACTACATGGGCCAGATTGCCATCGATATTCTCTGGGGCAAATCGCTCCTCAAAAACTACCCGGGCCTTCTGGAAGATATGTTCGACTTTGATCGTGGCATCCATCATTTCTTCGTGAGAGGCCTCGCCAAGATCACAAAAGCCGGCCGTCGTGCCAAAACAGGCCGTAACCGTCTAGCAGCTGCTATGCGCGATTGGTACGAAGCAGTTGCAGCTCTCCAAGCTGGTGAGGACCCGGGCTCGTGGTGGAAGGACCTGAAGCTCGACGAGGTCTCAGAAGTCCTCCGAGTAAGAGTGAAGACAGCCGTCGAAAGGAGAGCATCTGCCACTCTGCAAAAGACGCAAGACGCTCAAATCGTCTGGGGAGTCAACGTCAACTCCAACAAGAACGTATTTTGGATGCTCCTGCACGTATACTCAAGGCCTGAGTTGCTCTCTGCCATCCGCGCTGAGATCTCTACCTACATCAAGGTCTCGGAGACCGGTGAGCGTGGACCAGATGGCTTGCCAAAACTGAGCATCGACGTCGACGGTTTGACCAAGTATTGCCCACTTGTCAAGGCGGCCTTCTATGAGACGATGCGTCTCAGTATGGCAGGCCTGGCCACCCGAGATGTGGTCCAGGACATCATCTTGACCGAGTCCGTGGCCGACGCCGCCATGTTTGGGAAAGCCAAGGCCCAGTCGTACACCATTCCGGCGGGCAGCACACTCGTCCTTGCGAACGGCCACATGCAGCGGGATCCTCGCATTTTTCCTGAGCCAGACAAGTTTGAACCACAACGTTTCATTGAGGTCCTCAAAGACGGCACGCAGCGCGCCAACATGAGAAATTTGCACACATTTGGTGGCGGCCTCTACAAGTGCAAAGGACGCTATTTTGCGGAGAGAGAGGTGGTCACTTTCGCTTCTTGTCTCTTTTTCATGTGGGATATCAGCCCCGCAGACGGTGACAGAATCGTTTTCCCTGAAATGGGAACTGCTGGAGCTTCGAGAAGCCCCAAAACCGACGTTCGCGTGAAGCTGATCAGGAGGTTTGCCTAGACTGAGGCAGAGTACGTTGTGAATATCAAAAATTTTGTCTTGGTCTTGAGTCTCAATGCGCAATATCGATAGAGTATTAAAATGATTCTGTATATTATTTTGAATTGCACAATAGTCTCGGAAGCCCATTTTCTGCAAAACACTTCGAGGAGCTACATGCGAGCCTTGTGGGACTACATAGACGGACAGCCAGCAGTGACTCCGTTTTCAGAATTTACAACCCCCATCCCCAAATCAAACGCCCAGCAGGTATCCGCCGGCCAACTGCCCAGGCAGCTCTCAGAACCCGCTCTATTCCACCATCAATAATATTTCCCATTGACGACCATGCAAGCACTCTGGCAAAGCCAATCATGTCTACTTTCGCCCATATATTCGAAGTCTCTGTCCTTCGGAGTCACTGTCACTTCCCAGTGGAGCCTGATATGCAAGCTCGGTGGCTGAGGTCTCGGCATCCACTTTGATGGGCTGCATGCCATGATGTCTTCCAATCGACGCCCACGCGTGACCGAGCATACGTCCGGGATGGCAGACAGTCATAGCCAAGACTGCAAGGATAATCATGGGCCCCTCGAGGATCATGAAGGCCGTCTGGTCGTTCGCAAGCTCGCCGGAAAACCCATCCTTGAGTTCAGCAACACGGTAAACGCAACGGATGAAGATGAGAACTGTAGCAGCTACCAAGGACCATCGGAACAGAGCAAAGCTGCGAGTGCCGCGCAGCTCCGGGTACAGTTCATGGGATCGCGCAAAGCTAGCCAGCTTGGCCTTGCGGGCACGCAGGATAAAGTCGCCCCAAAGTGCCATGAAAAACACCATAGATACGACCTGCGATGCCAGACCACCTACCATGATGTCTGCGCCCTGCATTGATCCCGCGTGGTCTTTGGCTGTGGCAGCCAGGGCACCTCCGGCGGCCTGCAGAATCAGCGAGAGGAGATCGAAGCCGACGAAGATGTAGGTGTACATCTTTGGCGAAATTCGCGAGTGTTCAGGGCCCACGACGTGGATGACTCGGCCGAGACAAATGTAAATCGCAGCAGTGAAGAACGCCGGCCCGATGGTCAGAGGGACGAGGTACCTGCGGAAAGGAGTCAGTCAGACGATGTGCATTGGCCAAAGAACAAGGCAGCAATTTCTGGGGTTTCTCACAGGAGGAGGTTGTTCAAGATGAAAGGGTTGCTATGCAACATCAGGCGGCCTATGTAGCCGATGATTTCGAGCAGCAAGCCGGCGACCATGGGCCACGCGTACGTCCACGTCTTGGCACGTATACCATAGAAAAGCTGTGCGCCCAACAGGACCGCGAAGCAGATCAGGTAGAAGACATTGCCACCGACGTTGGGGAGGTACGATATGTTGGCCCATGACATTGGGCAAACGTCTAAAGTGCAATACTTCTTCTGCATACCAATCAGGGTGGCGTTGGTGGTGTTGAGAACGAGGTTGTCAGGGTCAACACCATTCTTGTCCGTCCAGCGTGCAAGAATTTCGTGAAATGCCATTGCTGAGTGTGCGTATGGTGCGTAGGATTCGCGTTAACATCTGCTGCGTGAAGGAGGCCCGTTTGCAAGAGCCGATTTGACACAAAATGAGCGGCCCGAAAATGAAATCGAAGGGAAGACAACGAGGATGTGCAAATTTCCAAGAAAAATGAAAAATCGATGCGTTTATTTCCTACCTGAGGATTCGAGGAGGAAGAGACGAGAAGAGGGGCGGGACAGGGTGCATCGAAGGGGGGGGGGGGAGCGAAGGCACGTACCGCACCTAGCCATCTGCTGCCAAAGCACGAGCTGCACATCAAGACGGATGAGACAGCCACGCTGTGAAGCACTACAAGCTCGCCAGGGGTGCACATATCCTTACCCTTGCGGTCTAGGTGAGGAACCCCTGCGTCTACCATCGCCGTGCTGACGAGAGCATATAGTACCCTGGTACCCACCCAGGTACATGGTCACTTTGACTAGCCCAAGAAAATGCCCAACCGGAACAGGCACAAAACTCCTTCTTCCTGGTCCACAGTTTTGAAAATCTGCCTTTTCGTACACTAGCTCAATTACCACGTTTTCCAACTGCAGGTGCTGGGTCTGTCGTCTGCCGCGGCTATATGTTTATGTTCACTCCTTGCACTTGTACTGCGAAGGTAAGTCTGAACACACCAGCATGGCTGGGGTAGAAGCTCGACTAATGTTAGTTAGACGCATTGATATCATGGATACCACGGCAGGATTGACGACTTCTGCTGTCTGGGCCTGGAATGAGGCAGTGCCTGAGAAGGTCGAGAACTGCGTCCACATCCTGGTCCGTGAGCAGGCAAAACTACGGCCGGACGCCCTGGCTGTCGATGCCCATGATGGGACGTGGACTTACGGGGAATTGGATGAGGCCTCTGATGTTATCGCTCGCTATCTTGTGCAGAAAGTGGGCATACGAGCTGAGAATGTCGTTCCCCTTTGTTTTGAGAAATCGAAATGGGCTGTCGTGGCCATCCTCGGTGTTCTGAAAGCCGGCGCTGCCATCGTTTTCTTGGACCCATCCTATCCTCAAAGTCGGATCGAATACATTATCTCTCAGACCGCAGCGAAGGCTATAGTCTGCTCACCCCTGCAACAGCATCTGTTCACTGAGTCCGGGTACCCTCCAACGCTGCTGCTGAGTTTCGAGGACCTGAGACAGTACGCCCATTGTGCCGTTGAAATGATATCCGGGAACATCGCCCAGCCTGGCAATCTCCTCTACATCATCTTCACATCAGGCAGCACTGGCCAACCGAAAGGTTGTGAGATCGAGCACGGAGCGTTTTTGAGCGGTTCTTTGCGCCATGCCGAGCTTGCAAATATCCACCACGATACCCGCATTCTGCAACTGGCTTCGTTCACTTTCGACGTCAGTATGCTGGAGATCCTGACGAGTCTGATTCATGGCGCCTGCATCTGCATCCCCGATATGAGCCTGATGGCGAATGGTCCTGCCTATCTTCTGAACGAGCACCGCATCACCTGGACTTTCATGACACCGTCTCTAGTCAAGCTCATGACGCCCGATATGGTTCCGCTTCTGCGGACTCTGGCGTTAGGAGGAGAGCCCCTCTCCAAGGTCGACGTTGAGACGTGGGCCGACCACGTTCAACTGATCAATGGCTATGGTCCAAGTGAATGCTCTGTGGCAGCTGCAGGAAACACCCAAATGACCGTCCACACAGACCCATCAAATATTGGGCACCCGGTAGGCGGAGTCTGCTGGATCGTTGATGCGGACAACCACGATATCCTTCTCCCCCCAGATGAAATCGGTGAGCTTCTCATCGAAGGACCTCTCCTGGCTCGCGGATACTTCAAAGACGAGGAAAGAACTGCCCAGGCATTTATTACGCGGCCGGCGTGGGGTGTGACTGATAAGAAGAGCCATGATCGGAGACTGTACAAGACCGGCGACCTGGCTAAGTTTCTAGATGATGGTTCAATTCATCTTCTGGGCCGGAAAGACACCCAGGTCAAACTACGTGGCTTCCGCATCGAATTGGGTGAGATCGAACACCATATCGCTGTGCAGCCGGATGTCCATCACCAAGTAGTGCTACTTCCCAAAACAGGCGTGTTCGCTAACCATCTGGTCGCCCTTGTGTCTCTCAAGGGGCATCTCATCGAGACTTTGGACACGGCTCAGGCGCTTGTCTGTGTTCATGATGAAATGCACAACGAGCCCATCCAGCGGATTGTCCAGACTCTTCGAAAAGAGCTGGCCGCCAAGGTTCCAGAGTACATGGTCCCGGAACATTGGATCGTGCTGGAGAGTTTTCCCCTTCTTCTCTCTGGAAAGCTGAATCGGTCATTGGTCAGCAAATGGTTGTCCGAGGCAGATCAGGACTTACAACGTTTGGTACTTGGACTGACCAACGAGCCACTTCACGACACACCACAAATTGACGAGCAACTGTGCTCAGTCATCTCCAGCGTTCTGGGTCTTGCGCAGTCCTCTGTCGTCGACAGCTCTCACAAGTCTTTCTTCAGCATTGGCGGCGACTCAATCACCGCAATGCAGGTCGTCGCCAAGTGCAGGAGCCTGGGACTGGTGCTAAGCGTGAAGGATGTCTTGAGGAGCAAGAGTCTTATCGACCTGTCGCGTTGCATCAAGGCCTCTGCCTTGCCAAAGTATATGACAGAAGAGAAAGTCGATACCCCGTTTGAGCTGTCGCCAGTGCAGCGGATGTTCTTTGATCTCGCCCCCGAGCAATCTCACTCTGTTGAAGAAACCCGGTTCAACCAGAGCTTCTTTCTCAAAGTACGAAGAATGGTAGACCCAACTGCCATTAATGAGGCCCTTGAACGTGTTGTGGCCCGGCACTCCATGCTTCGAGTTCGCTTCGGTCGTGACGTCGAAACATGCCAATGGATGCAAAGGATACCATCAGACTCAGACCACTCCTTTAGCTTTGTTTCCCACGATGTAGATGTCGAGGAGGATGCGTTGCCAATCATGGCCAAGACCCAAGCCAGCTTGTCTCTCAGGGACGGCCCAGTGTTCGCTGCGGTTTACTTCAACATCAACGGACGTGATCGCCGTATCTTCTTGGTAGCTCATCACGTCATGGTTGATCTTGTGTCCTGGCGCACCATAATAAGAGACCTCGAAGAAAGCATCGTCACAGGATCGATTAATGCAGAGAAGCCACTGCCTTTCCAGAGCTGGCTTGCACTACAGGCGGAACACGCACAGATGACTGAGATTTCCAAAGTGCTCCCTTACAGCATTCCATCTGCTGATCTTGACTACTGGGGAATGGCCGAGACGCCCAACACCATGGTTGACACTGTGGAGGCCAGCTTTAAACTGGATCACGCGATGACCAAGAGACTCCTCGAGGGAAAAAGCCACTCTGCCTACCGCACTGAGCCCATCGATATTCTTCTGGCTTCGCTTGTCTATTCCTTCGGCCAAATATTCAGAGACCGTCAACCGCCTGCCATCTTTCGCGAAGGCCATGGCCGTGAGCCCTGGGACGACGCCATTGATATCTCGGAAACGGTTGGCTGGTTCACTACCATGTACCCTCTCCTAGTTGACACCAAAGATGGCCCCAGAGATCTCAGTATTCTGGATGTTATCAAGCGCGCCAAAGATGTTCGACACAGCGTTCCGAGCAATGGCCGACAGTACTTCGCCTCCCGTTACCTCAACGCAGACGGCGCTGCCAAATTCGGCCAGCACGACAACGTGGAGATCTCCTTTGATTACTTGGGGTTGTATCAACAAATGGAACGCCCCGACTCTCTTCTCACCATGGTACCCGGATACCAAGCCCTCTACCATGATATTGGAGCGCAGGCACCGCGATTCTCGCTTGTAGAGGTCACTGCCGAGGTTCTCCATGGACAGATGCAGCTGCTGTTTTTCTACAACAAAAACATGGCCAAGAAAGATCTTATCCAGTCATGGATTGCAGCAACCAATTCCTGTTTGGTTAACGCAGTGAATCAGTTGGAGAAGCAGTCGCGAGAGCTTACGTTGTCTGATGTACCGCTGTTGCAGCTAGGTTACGACGAGCTGGAGGTCATGGCTCGCTCTACACTTCCAGGAGTGGGTATTCATAACCTTGACCAGGTTGAGAGTGTTTACCCTGCTTCTGCGATGCAAAATGGCTTGCTGCTCTCTCAGCTTCGTCCTGGTCGTGCGGGCGCGTATGAGTACAACCACGTGCTCAGGATCACCCCACGAGTGCCTTCGGCGACGCTTGACATCCAACGTTTGAAGGATGCATGGGACCGAGTCGTACAACGCCACACATCCTTGCGGACAGTTTTCGTACGAACGGCAGGCAGTTCAGGTCTCTACGACCAGACAGTTGTGTCCAGTATGAAATCACAAGTGGACACTCGGGAGTGTACTGAGGAGGACGCGGTGCGCGTTTTCGAATCTCAAGATCGCGTCCAGTTTCGAGAGGGTGAGACCCTACATCGCCTCACCATCTGCGAAGTGTCACCCAGCCTCGCACTTTGCAAACTCGAAATCAACCACGCCATCATCGACGGATCATCCATCGCTGCTCTCCTGAGCGACTTTGTCTTGGCTTATGATGGACTCATCAGCGAGCGGCCCGGTTTCGTGTTTGAGGATTATATTAAATACACCCTTGAACTCCCAGCAGACACAGCGACGGCATTCTGGATGGGTTACCTCACCGACGTAAAGCCTACCATATTTCCCGCCATGGCTTTCTTGGAGCACGCTGTGGCTACCGTCCCGAAGTTGGGTGCTGTGAGAATCGATATCGGCGTGAGTCCAATCGAGCTGAGTCGCTTCTGTGACGACAAGCTTGTCAGCTGGGTGAACGTTTTCCAGCTTGCTTGGGGTTTGATCCTCAAGCAATATACCGGGATTGAGGACGTCTGTTTTGGATTACTCTCCTCTGGTAGAGATGCTCCTTTGGATGGCATCCAGGAAGGCGTCGGCGCTTTTCTGACCATGCTTGTCAGCCGCATTACTCTTGACCAAGACACGACCTTGTCATTGGCTCTTCAGGACGTGGCGAGAAACTTGGTCGACTCACTACCTCACCAGTACTTCGGGCTCGCCAACATACAGCACGGCTTGAAACTAGCCAATCAGCCCCTGTTCAATACTATCATCTCGTTTCACAGGGATACAGACCAAGACATGTATCCAAGCTCAGGCATCTGTATCGAGGCGATGGAAGGCCATGACCCTACGGAATACGTCCTGTCCCTGGACGTTGGCGTCTCTGAGACGAAAATTGACGCTTCACTCCAATTCTGGACAGATGAGATCACACGACTACAAGCTGAGAATATCGGAACCACCTTCGCAGAGGCCGTGAAGGCAATTATTACACACCCCGAAACCGACGTGGGCCAAGTCGACCTCGTCGGCGATCATCATATTCAGCAGTTGAGATCTATCATCGCCGCGAATCATGAGTACGTCAGCGAGTGCGTTCACCACGCGATTGAACGCCAGGCCCTTGCTGCCCCCGACCATGAGGCCATCTGCTCAAACGAAGGATCGTGGTCCTACGCCGAGGTAGACCGTCTTTCCAGTAGTAAACTAGCCCATCACCTTGTGTCTTTGAACATCGGGCCAGAGGTCATCATTCCGTATTGCTTCCCCAAGTCCGCATTCGCCATTATCTCGATGCTGGCCATCCTCAAAGCTGGCGGAGCTGCAGTAGCTCTTGACCCAGGCCATCCTGTTGGTCGCCTTCGCGGCTTGATCCAGCAGTGTGGCTCTACCGTGGTGCTGGCCGATCATCGGACCGCGCACTTGTTTTTCCACGCACCTGAAATTGAGCACGTGCTGGTCATCAATGAAGCTTTTTTCGAGAGCCTTATTCAGCCTGCAAGCACGCCCGATGTCGCCGTTGAGCCGCATAATGCATGCTTCGTCGTCTTACGTCTGGCACGACTGGACAACCCAAGGGAATCGTGCTTGAGCATCGCAATCTGCGAACTTGTGCCGCTACGATGGGACCAGTCCTCGGATTCAGCCCCGAGACCCGCGCTTTGCAGTTCGCCGCCTACGTTTTCGATGTCTCACTACAAGACATCCTCATTACATTGATGTTCGGAGGGACGGTGTGCGTCATATCGGATGAGCAGCGAATGAATGATCTCTCTGGCGGCATCAATCTCACAAGGGCGAACTGGGCGGATCTCACGGCCACAGTCAGTGGGATGCTCCATCCGGCGGACGTTCCAACTTTGAAGAGGCTTAACAACGGCGGTGAGGCTCTCAATCGCGATGTTATAGAGAGGTGGGCAGACCATGTTGAGCTATACAATTTGTATGGCCCAGCCGAGACAACCGTCAACCATACAGCCAGTGCTCGCCTGTCAACGTCTTCTCCAGCAAGCAATATCGGCCCAGCCTATGGAACCCATGTCTGGATAGTAGACGTACGAGACCACAACAGGCTTGTACCTCCCGGATGCGTAGGAGAGATCCTGATTGAAGGACCACTCGTCGCCCGGGGCTACCTCAACGATCCGGAGAAGACGGCTGCCGCCTTCATTGAGGACCCAATTTGGGCTTCGCAGTTTCCGAAAGGCGCGTCGTCCTCATCGAAGAGGTTTTACAAGTCCGGTGATCTTGGAATCTTGAATACAGATGGTAGTATCACGATACTTGGCCGCTGTGACGCTCAGGTCAAGATAAATGGACAGCGGGTGGAGCTTGACGAGGTGATGTGCCAAGCTCAGCGACTGCTGCCGCAAGGTTACCACATTGCCGTGGATGCGACATCAATGAAAGAAACTGCTCACAAGAAAGACATTGTGGCTTTTGTCAGCGTTCCCAGTCCCGGCCCGTCCTGTCAGAAGGGAGCATTGCTCTCATTGCAGCTGTCAGCCGAATTGAAAGACATTTTCACAGAGGTGCAACACTCTCTGGCAAAGGTACTGCCATCATACATGATGCCTTCGCTATGGATACCCACCACGGAGATCCCACACACCACCTCTGGCAAGTTGGATCGCCAGAAGTTACGAGGCTTGGTGGCGACCATTGCCTCATCCCAGCAAGCGGTCTCGCAGTATTCTTTGAGATCCTCTGAGAGCCTTGAACTTCCTACAAACCGCACTGAAGAGATTCTCCAGGAGCTTTTGGGACTTTCCTTGGACATCGAGCGGGCGCAAATCGGGCGTCGTGATGATTTCTTCGCCCTGGGCGGCGATTCTGTTGGTGCCATGAAGCTGGTGAGCGCTGCCCGGAAGCAGTTTGGTTTGATCCTGCATGTTACCGACATCTTCAAGCATCCTACACTTGGTGACTTGGCTGCTATCATAGACGACCGGAATGAGGCGGACGCAAATCAGCTGGCGCTGGCATCAGCGGCACCTTTCGAACTTGTCGACGTTTCATCAGCGCTCCCAGAAGCTGCGGCGCAATGCAAAGTCAACCCTGAGGAAATTGAGGACATCTACCCGACCTCAGCACTTCAAGATGGTATGATGGCCCTGGGACTGAGGAGCCCCGGAGCTTATATCACGCAGGCTGTCTTTGCTCTCCCATTTACTCTGGACATTCCTCGGATGCAGTCGGCTTGGGATACTGTTGCTCAAATCCATGCCATCCTTCGCACTCGCATCATCTCGTTGGATGCCATTAGGCACATGCAGGTGTTAGTATCCCTGTTTTCTATTTTTTTCCTCAAGTCCCACTTTGCCTTTGAATTGCAGACAGAGCCTGTTTCAGCTAACACGTTCATTCAATGGGTAGTGTTACAAGGCTCCCTCCGTCGTGGAAAGTCACAGATGTCGAAAATTTGGATGCCTACCTGGCACGCGATAAGGCAACCGTGTTAGGGTACGGTGAATCATTGCTGCGCTTAGCCGTAGTCAGACAGACATCCAACCAGACTGTGTACTTCGTTTGGACGGCGCATCATGCCGTGTACGACGGGTGGTCCATGACGATCCTCTTCAACCAGGTGGCTGATGCGTTCTGGGGTAAGCCGGTCATTTCGTCAACGCCATTCAAGCACTTTATCAGCCATGTTGCGAGCGTAGATGAATCAGCGGCGGATGACTTCTGGAAGGAGACTCTTGATGGCCGGGGGAGCTGTCCGGTGAGCTTCCCGCCAACAAGCCAAGACTACGCTTCATCATCCTCCGGCAAACTGGCCACCAAGATTACTGTGCATGCTCAAGCTCCAGATGCTATCGCTTCTGGTATCCTGGACTCAACCATCAAGCGTGCCGCTTGGGCATTGACACTCGCGAGCTTCAGCGACTCTCCCGATGTTGTCTTTGCCCAGACACTGTCAGGACGTAATGTGTCCATGTCTGAAATCGAGGAGGTTATGGGTCCCACCATTGCCACCGTGCCTGTGCGCGTACGCATTCCAACGAAGCTTTCCGGTGTCACTGTGAGGAGTTTCCTGGAGAAGCTCCAGGCTCATGCCTTTGAGGCGATGAAATTTGAACAAGTTGGCTTGCAGCGCATTCGAGAACTCAGCAACGATGCTCGCAACGCGGTCGACAATATCTCGAATCTCTTCGTCATCCAGCCGAATCAACATGATGGTGATGTGACATTCTTGGGAATGGAGCCACTTCCGAGGCATGAGGGCACTTTGCTGGAATACTACCCGCTCACGGTTCTCTGCAACCTGGAAGATTCAGGAGAGTACACTGTGGAGGCACTGTTCGATGAGAATGTCATCTCGTCGGAACAGACGACCCGAATCCTGCACCAGTTCCAACACATAGTCCAGCAGCTCTCGATGATATCCAACATGGATACACTTCTTGATGCGATCAAGCTGCTCAACCCATACGACCTCCATGATATCCGTGAATGGAATGCCGGTCTCCCAATGCGCGTCGACGCTTGCATACCGGATCTCATTTCTGAGAACGTTGCTCTTCGACCAGACTCCGAAGCTGTTTATGCATGGGACGGCCAGCTGAGTTACCAAGAATTTGACTTCGTCACTTTGAAGCTTTCGAGCCACCTCGCTTCTCTAGGAGTTGGGAGGGAGGTGAGAGTTGGTCTGTGTTTTGACAAGTCAATCTGGAACCTTGTTTCCATGTATGCTGTTATGCGTACAGGCGGCGTCTGCGTCCCCTTGCTGCCTACGTATCCTAGGGGACGTATCGCGGACATCCTTGAAGACATCGAGACGTCTTTGGTGCTTGTCTCACCGCAGCACAGCAGCATATTCGACGGGACCGTGCCGAATATCTTGTCCGTCGACCAGGATTTGCTTGACTCTCTTCCGTCGCACCTAGATGTACAATTGACAGCACTTCACGACATCGAGCCTCGTGACGCTGCCTTTATAGTGTTTACTTCCGGCAGTACAGGGCGTCCGAAGGGAGTAGTGATCGAGCATAGTGGGTTCTGCACCATGGCCCACCATCAGCTGGGCGAGCTTATGCTTGGACCAGAATCGCGTGTTCTGCAGTTTGCGACGCACACATTTGATATCTGCCTGTTTGAGAGTTTTGCGCCTCTTGTCAGAGGTGGATGTGTTTGCATTCCGTCAGAGCACCAGAGGATGAACAATTTGGTCCAGGCCATCAATGAGTTCCGCGTGGACTGGATCATCATGGTGTCTACGATCGCACAAAACTTCTATCCGGAAGATGTTCCGTCACTCAAGACGCTGGTTCTGGGCGGTGAGCCGCTTCGCCCTGACATCCATGCCCGCTGGGCTTCGCGTGTCAACTTGTTCAACGACTACGGGCCGGCAGAATGTTCCATATTGGCGGTTATGACTCCGTCGACCTCGGAAACCCCACCGTCCATGATTGGCAAGGGTCATGGTGGACGCACATGGGTTGTTGATAAGGACGACCACGACAGACTGCTTCCTGTCGGCTGCGTGGGAGAGCTCCTCATCGAAGGCCCAATCCTGGCTCGAGGATATCTAGGCAAACCCGAGGAAACGGCAAATTCATTTATCAGTGACCCCTCCTGGGCCTCGTCCTTTGATGTATTGAACCTTTCCTCAAGATTCTACAAGACTGGAGATCTAGTCCGCTATGCCGAAGACGGCAACTTGATCTATCTCGGGCGAAAGGACACACAAGTCAAGATCCGAGGTCTGCGTATTGAACTTGGTGAAATTGAGCACCACGTCAAGATTAGCCAGCTGAACACCTACAAGCAGGCCGTGGAGAAGGTGTTGCTAGGTAACGATGTCGATAAGGCTGCCCTCGTCGCCTTTGTTGTGCCATCGGCAGTGGAGCGCTCGAATGCCCATAACACTGCTGAACGCTCAGAAAACTTGTCACCTTGGTCTTCTGACCTGGAGGGTCAGCTGTGGGAGCTACGGGAGTATCTGACGAAGTCACTTCCAGCATACATGGTGCCAACTCTCTACGTGCCCCTGCACGATATGCCGGAGACGCAGACCAACAAGATTGATCGAAATGCACTGAAGACGATGGGTGCTGCATTGAAACCGGATCAGATTGCCCTCTATTCGCTTTCCTCAGTCGATAGGCCTGCTGCATCTGGTGCCAAGCGTGCTCCGTCAACGGAGACCGAAATTCTGCTGCAAGGTCTTTGGGCTCGGCTCATGAGCATCGAGCCAGAGCATGTCGACGCACACGACAACTTCTTTGTAAAGGGCGGTGATTCTATCAAGGCCATGCGTCTCACTTCGTTGGCGAGATCTCATGGAGTCTCACTGATAGTGGCTGATATCTTCAAGAATCCTGAACTCAGCCAGATGGCCCTTGTGGCAACTTGGCTGGACGGCCGAGAACAGCCACGGATGAGCGACCTTATAGAACCCTTCGATTTGCTCTCTGGATCGCAAAGTAACAGAGAGATGGTAATCAAGGATGCTGCGACTCAATGCTCTGTTTCTGTGGACGCGATTCGGGACATTTATCCCTGCACGCCTCTGCAAGAAGGGCTGATGGAGTTAGCTACTCAGCGGCAAGGCGCCTACACTGCACAGAGGGTGTTCCGCCTCCACGGCGATATTGATACCGGGAGGTTTCAGGCTGCTTGGTCCCATTTGGTCGCCATTCACCCAATTTTGAGAACCAGGATCGTTCTATGCTCCAATTCTGGGGAGGCGATGCAGGTGGTGATTGACGAGGATGTCACTTGGCAGCAAGAACTCACCCTGCCCAACTATCTCGCCGCCGACAGAGCAATACCAATTCATTACGGCAGCCCCCTGGCGCGCTATGCGCTGGACGCTGAGCACAGTCACTTCATTTGGACTGTCCATCACGCACTCTACGACGGCTACAGCTTCAACGTGTTGATGGCACAGCTTGATATGCTTTACAGAGGGCCTTACATCCACCCTCCCGTAACACATTACAATTCTTTCGTCAAAGCTGTGACGTCGGGAGTCAGTGCCGACGAATTGCAAGCATTCTGGACCAAACAACTTGCACACGGGGCGCCTGAAAGCTTCCCACCTCTTCCGTCGGCGACTCACCAATCTTGCCCTGACTCGGAAATCACGACGACAATCAACGTCGAAGGGCATCGCCGGGCCGGGCAGCCTTTCATGCTATCAACAATTCTTCGATCAGCGTGGGCTATAGTTACGGCACGGTATATGGGCTCCCAGCACGTAGCGTTCGCAGCCACCAACTCTGGTCGTAACGCCGATGTTTGCGGGATAGACACCATCGTCGGCCCGACCATCACCACTGTTCCTCTCCATATCGCCATTGCCCCGGACACAACGATAAAAGGCTTCCTTGACGGAGTCCAGCAACTCGGCATCGACATGGTGCCTTTTGAGCAGGCCGGCGTGCAGAGAGCCTTTGCTCTGGCAGAACGGAAACAAAACCTCCGCAACCTATTCGTCATCCAACAATCGTTGGTTGAAGACTCTCAGAAAAGCAGCTCCATTATGGACGAGGTCGTGGACAAAGCTTTCCTCCGTGGATTCCACGTCTACCCGGTGGTGGTTGAATGCAACGTCATGAACGACGAGGAGGTCCATGTCGAGCTCCAGTTTGACAAGTCCGTCTTGGCAGAGACTACGTCAAGATGGGTCCTGGAACAATTTGAGCACGTCGTCGGCCAGCTGCTCACTCCAAAGCTATTGACTTCAGGCGCCTTGCTGACGGACATCAACCTTGTACCTTCTGCACACATCGACAGAATGGTTTCTTGGAATGACGCGGTGGACATACAAGATGTCGAGGAATGTGTCCACGATATTTTCCGCCGACAGGCCAACGAACGACCTGACACCGAGGCTGTGGTCAGCTCTTGGGAGGGTTCACTCACGTACGGGCAACTGGACGAAATGAGTGACAGATTGGCAGTTCACCTGGTTGAGAAGGGTATCAGGCCTGAAGGTCTTGTGCCTATGTGCCTTGACAAGTCTATCTATACTGTCGTAGCCATGATGGCCACCCTCAAGGCTGGTGGGGCTTGTGTGCACCTGGGAATCAAGTCACCGGCTTCAAGAATGGTTGACATCATACGGCAGGCCGCTTCGAACGTCATCCTCACGGATGCATCGAATTCACGCAAATTCGTCGATCAGCTCCCAGACGTGCAGATCGTCACTGTTGACGCTTCTTTGTTTGGGAAGTTGTCTGGTCGTGGTGCTGCCTCATTGCTCCCTCGTGTCTCTCCCACCAACCCGGCATTTGTGCTGTTCACATCCGGTAGCACTGGAAAGCCGAAGGGAGTCGTCGTGGAACACGGATCGCTCTGCACCTCTAGCCGAGCCCACGGGACTAATCGCAAGATTGGTCCTGGCACCAGACTGTTTCAGTTTGCAGCATACACATTCGACGTGTCTGTGGCTGACATCTTCACCACCCTTCAACGTGGCGGCTGTATCTGCGTGCCTTCTGAAGACGAGCGCACCAACGACATTAGCGGTTCTATCAATCGACTGGGTTGTAATTATGCTTTCCTCACGCCAACCGTAGCCGGAATGGTCGAGCCGACGAGCGTTCCAGGTTTGAGAACCCTTATCTTGGGTGGAGAACTCCTGACGAGTGACAACATCCACCGTTGGGCATCGCGAGTGGATCTCATCATCAGCTATGGCATGACCGAGTGTAGCATCCACTGCGTCGATGCCGTGCCCCTGGCAATTGAGGGCCATCCTGCCAACCTTGGCCGCCCATCTGGATGTCACATGTGGATTGTCGACGAGAATGACCATAACAAGTTGGCCCCTCTCGGTGCTGTTGGAGAGCTAGTTATTGAGGGCAGGATGGTGTCTCGAGGCTATCTGAACGACAAAATCAAGACAGACGCCGCTTTCATCACCAACCCAGCTTGGGCTTCCGGCAAGACAAGATCGAGCGTTCCTCGCAGGATGTACAAGACAGGCGACCTTTGCAGGTATAGCCCTGCAGGAGAATTTTTTTATGTGAGCCGCAAGGACTTCCAAGTCAAGCATCACGGCCAGCGCATCGAACTCGGCGACATTGAACACCACACGGCTGCTGATGCGCGCGTCCACCAGGCTGTCGTGCTCCTTCCCAAACGAGGCCCTTTGCAGAAGAAACTCGTTGCTGTCCTGAGCCTCAAATCCTCATCCAAGCCGCTTTCACAAAAAAAGCAGCTCGACCTGGTCTCTGGCCTCGACAAGGGTATTGCAGACTCGCAGGTGTCTGCGATCCGCAGCTATCTCGCAACAAAGGTACCTGATTACATGGTGCCCGCCATCTGGATTGCTGTCCAAGCACTTCCATTGACCCCAAATAACAAATTGGACAGGGTGACGGTCTTGCAGTGGCTTGAGCAAATAGACGAAGCAGGATACCAGGATATCGTTGGGCAAGGGGAAGATGCAGAGCATGGTGCTGCAGGCTCACCAGCCACGTCTCAGCAAAAGCTACTCCATGATGTGTTGGCCCAGGTTCTCGGACTTCCCAGTGTTCACATGGGCAGGTCATTTCTGGACCTTGGGGGTGATTCTATTACGGCAATGCAACTGAGGGCCAAATGCCGAGCAGCGGGTCTCTCACTAACTGTTCCAGATATTCTGACTGCGGTGAGTATGTTTGACCTGGTTTCGGCTGCTCAACTTCTGCACACTGGCCCGACTGAGTTAAGAGACGTTATTGGCATCGCGTTGCCAGTCACAGCTTGGCAGCAAGCCTGCCTAGAAAGCACTCACCTGCCTCAGATGGTGAACGCAGCAAAGGTGACGCCGGCGGCGCGGATCACGGTACCGAATCTGTTGCGGGCTGTCGAAGCCCTTGTGCAACAGTATTCTTCATTCCGAACTCGATTCTCACGCAACGCTCAGGGACAGTGGGCTCAAACCATCACCAAGGGTCCATCATCCGCATACTACACATTCAGAGCTCACTCTTTGTCCTCGCTTGGCGAGCTGGACCTCTGCCTCTCGAACCTGAACAAAGCCCAGTTGAACGTGGAGACAGAAACTTTATTCTCAGTCCATTTGTTCCACCATGAGAACGGCGACGGTGACGATCATACACAAGTTGTGCTCCTACGAGCACACGCTTTGATCGCCGACGCCAAGTCGATGAGTGTACTGGTCGAAGATCTGCGCTCCCTGCTGGATGGAAACATACTCCCAGGCACTGAAGAATTCCCTCTGGCATCGTTTCTTGCACAAATACAGGAAAAGACCGTGTACGACTTCAATGGCGATTCTGAGGCTGCTCTTGAGTCTTGCAGTACCGCTGCTGGGAACCACGCCTCGGGGGATGTCGTTGAGCGGACCATCACCTTGGACAAAGCATCAACGTCACTTCTGATGGGCGACAGCAACCGAGCCTTGTCAACGTGTCCGCAAGACATCGTGGTTGCCACTACCGCTTTGGCATGGCGCGAAATCTGGGGTCGCTACCCTTCATCGATCGCCGTGAGGGATGACTCCAGACCTACCAGGGCGGTGGGTCAGTTTTCTCGTCTGCGTCAGACCCCAGAGATTGACTGCACCGACTGCATCCAAGTTCTCGCCCGATTTAAAGACTCACGAGTCGGCGAGCGTATCGACAAGTCACTCATGCGGCGAGCATCCGGTTATGTCGAAGTCTTGATTGACACCATGTGTCCGGTTCCTGCTGCGGATTCTGGGAAAGGCCACGCCCATGATCTCATCTACGATGCCACGTCTTGGGGTACTCATTCAAAACTCCGCGTCACGCCAACGCTGGCCAACGACCGAATGATGTTGAAGTTGACTTACAACGATGAAACAGGAAGTTATGATGTATTCACCCACCTCATCAAGACATTGGAGCAACGTCTTTCCCAGCTAGTGGCTATGCTGAGTTCCACGAAGACCACACCAACTCTCAGTGATTTCCCCTCGCTGAAGCTGGGGTACACGCAGCTCAAAAAGCTGGAAACAGTTTTGGATGTCGCAGGAGTATCCTTCTCCAACGTGGAAGCGATCGTGCCCTGTACTCCCCTTCAACAACGTATGCTCGAAAGCCAAAAGAGGATTCCGGGTTCTTATCAGTCAGACACCGCACATCGCATCACCTCCGGTGGCACGAACAGCGTCGACGTGGCCCGTCTCCAACGTGCATTCGTGCAGGTCACGGCCAGACACGAAGCTTTGCGCACTATCTTCCTCCCCAGTGTCGCGCGGCCTGGTGAGTACTATCAGCTCGTGTTGAGTCACTACGAGCCATCCGTTCAAGTGATCCATTGCGAGGAGGCGGATATCAACAACGGCTCCACCATTCAGGAACATCATACGGTCCACCACGCATCCATGAAGCCGCATGTTGGGCTCACCCTGTTCCAGACAGAGTCATCTCTATGCACCAAGCTAGAGATCAGCCATGCTTTGCAAGACGGCGCCAGCATGCGCATCATATACCAGGACCTGGTTCGCGCGTATCGGGATCCAGAATATTTTGCCGCACCTCCTATATCACCGTCCCCTGGGTTCCGCGAGTATGCTGCCTGGCTCGAGGTCCAACACGAAATCAATTTGACGGAGTCGACGCGCTTTTGGATACAATACCTGGACGCGTTCATGGAGAAACCATGCCACCTTCCCAGTTCCCAGATTGATCCCGCTGCTGGCAGAGGCGAAAACGTCTTGATCCCAATCTCCATCGACACTAACTCCAACGTGATCTCCCAGGTCTGCCGCCTATACAAGGTCACGCCCTCGACGTTTTTCCAGGGCGCGTGGGCAACCTGTCTGCAGGCTGTCACTGGTCTTGATGAGGTAGTGTTCGCCCACGTTGTGGCGGACCGCGACATGGCAGACTTTCAAGGGGTGGTCGGCCCTCTTATCAACATGCTGGGATGTAGGGTCCGGGCCACGGGGTCTAACCCCGGGGTGGATGTCCTGCGGCGTGTCCACGAGAGCTTCCTCGAGACGCTGCCATTCCAGCATGGACTCGTACCGGCGGCCGCTGCGATGGAGAGGGAATCGTCGGCTTCCCAGTTGCCTTGGAACTCGGCACTTTCAGTGGAGTATGTGAACGATGCCAGCAGTGCCGGCTACTACCCAGTTTCTTCTGGGTCGGATGACGTTCTTGGATTTGACAGTCTGTGGGGAAGCAGAGCGCCGGAATTCGATGTCGTTTTGGGTGTCTTGGTTGGTCAGAAGAGCGTGGAGGTACAACTCGGGTATTGGGATGGCGTTATGGACCCATCTGCGATGAGAAAGCTGGCAAACATGTATCAAAGAGTTGTTTCTAGGTGGCTCCAAGGAAATGGCGAGGGGCTTATGTGCGAGATTCGGGCGGTTGTGTAGGAGGCAGTGGATTTGGATGTCAGCCTGTCCCTTGTCCCCGAGGTGTTAGTTTTCGCCTCTATCTTTGCGTGCTATAATTCTGAAATATGATGCGGGTCTGATATCAAAATATTTGCATACTCTTGCCTTTTGAGTTTCTTGGCTACCTTTTCATGTCGAAATCATCAATATGGATTGTATTGTTCCTTTTGAGGTTTATTGCCGAGCGCCCAGTACGACCCTGGCCCTCTCCATCTATAAAGATAAATACAACTCGCGTCTTGGCAGCGTATCCCACAACCACTTCATCTTGAAGGCCTCCGTTGCCCCACAAACTTGGTAATCATGAACATGGGCGCGCCGTTCCCGACGGTGCGTTTCAGGTCAAACTATTCCTACCCCTTGCAGCTGGAGAATTACTCTTTTGTGGCTTGTAAGTCCAGCGGCACTTTTTTTTCTTCGAGAGGATTGGGTGACCCCAGCTTTAGGTTGGAAAGGTAGAGAGGAGGTGGGTCATGTGAGGAGAAACCCCAGAACACACCCCAAGCGGCCCGAGGCTTCATCAGAAGTAGACGCCGAGAAACCGAGCTTCGTGCTGCCTAATGTTCCCCTCATTGTTTTGAGGCCGCAACAAATGACATTGCACTGACGACTCCTAAACGTCTCGTTTCGTCTGTATCTTAAAGTGTAGAAGATTGTATAGGCACCTGCTCGTCACATCTGCGCCATGACGTCCAATCCAGAGTTCAACAGTGACACTACCGGCACCGAAGCGGCCAAAGCTCTCGGGGCATCAATCAGGGGCAAGATTGGTACGTGATTGTCACTGAGCAAGATCTGATGGCTTGGACTGACCTTGGCTGGCAGTTGTCATCACCGGTGTTAGCCCTGCTGGCCTCGGCTTCTCCACAGCAGTAGCGATCGCCTCCCAGGAGCCGGCGAATCTCATCCTGGCCTCCCGGACGGCATCGAAGCTGGATGCCGCAGCAGCCGAGATTGGGGAAAAGTATCCTGCTGTAAAGGTCCAGAAGGTTTCCCTCGATCTCGCATCCCTCGACTCTATCAAGGAGGCCGCTGCCCAGATCGATACTCTGGTCGACCACGTTGATGTCCTCATCAACAACGCCGGCGTCAACCACCTGAACAGGGACGCTGTACAAACCCCAGGGGACACCTGGGTCGATGCAAACTTCTTCACCAACCATCTTGGCCCATTCTACTTCACCTACCTCCTGCTCCCTAAATTGCGTGCGGCGGCAAAGCCTGACGGACCAAAGGGCGCCACACGCATTATAAACCTCAGCAGCCACGGCCACCGACTGTCCCCCGTTCGCTTCTATGACTACCAGATCTACCATTATGTCTACGACGGAGTACCTGATAGCCAGAAGCCCCCCAAAGGGCTGCCTGAGGGATTTCTCAGGCTTGTCGACGGCTACCCCGGTTTCATCGGCTACGGGCAATCAAAGACAGCCAACATCCTGCACGCCACAGAGCTCAGCCGGCGTTTCAAGAAGAGTGGTGACAACATACTCGCCCTTTCTGTCCATCCTGGCACCATCGACACTGAGCTATCGCGAAACCTGGATGAGGAGGCATGGAACATGATCAAGGGAACGGCACCTCATGGCCAGTGGAAGAATCTGGACCAGGGCGCAGCCACGACGGTTGTTGCCGCATTTGACCCGAAGCTTGGGGAGCTCGATGTTGGCGGCGAGGCGTTCGGTTACATGTCTGACTGCCAGTTAGGCGATGAACATCTCGCCGAGCATGCGAAGGACACGTACAACGCACAGATGTTATTTCACGAGAGTGAGCGGATGCTAGGGCACAAGACCGGGCTGTAACTAGGCGCGACCCTACCACACCGAGGGTGCGTGCACAATCTGTTCGTTCGTCTTGACGCAGATAACATCTTACCGCAATGCATTCAAACGCTCATAAATCTTCGAAAAATGTCTTCTGTGTATTACAACATGTGTATCAACAAAGTGAGTGGCTTGTTCGCTGTCTCTTATGTACAGACATGCCTCTACCCTGCGTTGACGTCGCTCACGGCTAGTCACCCAACCGGACCATTACTAGGGGTAACAAAGGACGCCTGATAGCATCTTCGGTGCCGCTGCTACCCTACCCGTGAGAGCCTTGAGCCTCAAAGCTCAGTTTGCTGCTCCACCGAGAAGCGCGGCAAGGCCGCCGCCAGCACCGCCGCCAGCACCGCCAGCAGCATTTCCGCCCGCAGCATTTCCGCCCGCAGCATCTGCACCACCTGCCGCACCGCCTGCAGCTCCAGCACCTCCACCGCTGTTGTGAAGTTAGCCAACTGCTGCCAATCCGAATACTTAGGTCTCGTGTTGAACTTACGCAGCGCCGCCGAGGAGAGCGGCCAAGCCACCTCCTGCTGCTCCAGCACCTCCTGCTGCTGCAGCACCACCGGCTATATGATCCCGTTAGTGCCTCGTCTGGATCAAAGGCGTTCTGGAGTATTCAACTAACCCTTGCCCTTGCCGCCCTTGCCCTTTCCTTGGTGGTGTCTCGGCTCAATGGCGATAGCGGTCGCGCCAGCCACCAGAGTGATCATGTAGAGGAACTTCATGTTAAAGAGAATGGATGGAGACCCAGCTCTTAGAAAATGTAATGAAGGATTTGGATGTAAGGAAACTAGCGGCACAGCCGAAATTGGCAGAAGACAAGAAGATGGAAAAGTACGTTCGTAAGTGTCAAGACCTTCCGGATCGGAGTCCCACCACGTTGGAGGCGGCACAATATATACCACGAGTCCTCACCATTAGTGACCCCTTGAGAAGGAGGCGGTTGTGCAGTTGGGTGATCTGCGTCGATCTTCCGCAAATCTGCAATCTGCCCGACTGGGTGAGGCAAACGCCCGTTTCGTAACATGGACAGTGTGGTCTGAACTATCCTGAAGCTGAAGGGGTGGCGGTGACGAAGTTAGTTTCGTTTCAATGCTCGGACGGAGTGCCCGCCAAGCCACTGACATTGGCAGACACCAGCCAGCTGATGAATGACGGAGGGGAAAGCTAACGTCCGATAAGCATCAAGGGAGCGACAGAGCATAAGAAAAGAACGGTCCAAGCGGCATGGTGTTTGAGGAGGCGAGTACGAAGACTTCAGACGAGGTGAGCCGCCCAGTCGTACCTGCATCGAGATGCGAGCGGCACTTTTCTTTAAGCTTAAGTCTGGGGGTGGAGAAGCGAGAGCCGCCAGAATCGACAACCACGCCAATCCCTGCTCGGGGACGGAGTTCGCCAAGGAGACCGTGGAAACCCTGGGCTGGCCTGGATGACAGGGGAAGACGAGTCGAAGCGCGACTGGCCTCACAACATCACACACCCAGCCACACGGTACCCCCCTTTTCAACCATGTATTCGACCGCTGGGAACCTGGGGGACTCGGGAAATGAGTCGCCATGAATTGAAACATGCTCTGAATACCACAAGGTTTCTGTTTAGGCAACCACCCCGCAATCAGAGACGTGAGAAGAGGCCTCTGGCTTCTTTCTGCAGGAGTCTGACACGACAGAGTTTGGATCCGCCGCTGCCCGGAACTCTCACAATGACCTGGACAGGAGTGCTTGTCGCAAAGGAGGGCTCCCTACAGGGAGATATCCCCTTTGGTCGGATGTCCGCGTCGTTTCCACTGCAGACTGTGCAGCCTCTGTCACGTTGCGTCGACTCCAACTCGGCTCACCGAGGGCAGTCCTTAATGCTGCAGGGAATGGAGCCGACAAACGATGCTGACGCTGTCATGCACCCACAAGTTCTGTTAGAGGGCCGTTGCATAATCGGTGCTGTTACTGTACTGTTTCTCTTCATGGGGCTGCCGCATATGGCTTAAGGTGGCTTTTGTCTGTCCGATGCGAGAACGACATACCAGTCAACCACTTATCATGATGTACCAAAGGCTCTGTGCTTTCCGACCTGCACTTGGGTGCTCAAGCAGTACCGCCACAATCACTTCGGCCTGAATTCATGGTCCTGGGGAAAACTATCCTTCATGTTCTTAAATACTGAGCAATAGGAAGAATGTAGTATGATCTCGCCCACTATCCGTCGGGTCCCAGGGGATATGCCACACCTGGCCGACTTCGGTGGAGCAGCGGGCGAAGGTGGTGTTATAGGCGAGGTAGGAAGCAAGGGCCGAGACCCCCTCAAGGAACAGAAATTGATAATTGCACTCACCTGCTGTGGCGACTGAACGAAGTTACAAATTGTGAGGGGAGCTTCTCACGAGGGCTGGAATGCGAATATCAACATAGCAAGGGAGATTTTCTCACTTGCCCGAATCTTCCAATTTGGTGTTCCGTCGATCAAGGGGCCTGAGTAGATTCTGTTTTTGTAGTTAGAATGTCCGATGAAGCATCCTAGGGCATTGACGTCTCAGCTTTCGGCCCCAGCCGACTGGTACATTGCGTTCTCGTGACGGATGAGAAGACATTACCCCTTACACTCAGGCGAATCAAGTTGATGTCTAACGTTCCGCATAGCCGTTTCGATTAAATTGGAAGCCTTAAGCATGGAAACGATGCCAGGCATATCAGTGAGCAGTGTATTTCACCACTAAATTACTGCACACGTCACACGGGAGTTGTGTGACAGAGTGGATGCCTCCAAATTATGTAACCACCTCGAAAGCTTGTACCTCCAGTAAAGAGGGTTGGGATTTGATATGTATCCGTGAGATTTATGGCTGTAAACAGAGAAAAATCAATAGAAACATCTCCGAGTCACATCTGCTGTCTCGAACTCAATCCTGAGGTCCTCCACGGGGCCTTAAACCACTTGCTCAAGACGTATCTAGACTTGTGCAGAAGAATTGCAGGTGCTCTTTTGGTCGTAAACAGTCATCTGAACTGAACTTGAATTCTTCCCTGAGTGCACCTCGTAATTTCATGTATCACATACCTAGCTCGGGCCCAGAGCCCTGATTCCTGTCGCATTTTCTAGTCCAGTCCTCACTCGCGCAGGATATACTAGTCCAACAGAAGATAACTGATCTTAGCTCATTCGGATACTGGTACTGGTAGGTCGTATAGAATGAGGTGCGCACCTAGTTTGGAGGGGTTGCAGCTACTATGGATCTCGTGATGCACTTAGTCTTCCTAGCCAAAGAACCGTGATGCTAGCCACAGGCAGTGTCGGCTCGGCCTGTTACACCGTCGAATGGTTAGAAACTTAGTTATATCGTACCACGTCCTCGCGCGACCGATTATCTAGCCAAGTGTCTTCTCTGGAAATAAAAAGGTGGCTCCTCGCCACAGTCCCTTGACTGCAACCTTCTCCTGTATCTCATCGGACCAACAACACCAGACTCCAGCGTGAGAGTCCCGAGCGCAAAAAGTCGATGTCATGTGGTCCTCATATATTGTGGCCAGTTTCGTTCTGGTCGGCCTCTCGGTCGCACGCCCCCAGCACAGCCTTACCAGCCCGCAACCAATGCAGGCTGTCACTCCGAATACTGCTTATACTTCTTTCATTGCCCCTACCGGCACAGTCGCGTCCTTCGATGGCCAGATCTCATCACCTGCTAAGCTTTCTAAGCGCCACCACCGACACCACCGACACGATCCTCCCGACGATGGAGGCGACTGGGACAACGTTGCCAGCAAAGGCATCGACGAAGCCGGAGACGTTATCAAAGACATCATAGGAATCTTTGACAAAGGCAAAGATGAAACGAAGTTCATTACGAAAACTGTTATTCATACACCGGGACCAACCACAAGTCCTGAAGAACCAGTCACGACCACGGTTACTGAAAACCCGGGGACAACCACGATTACTAAAGACCCGGGTACAACCACGGTTACTCATGTCCCGGGGGAAACCACCAGTCATACACCAACAGGCACAATCACGGTTACTGGGACAGTGACTATTACTCGATCCACTTCCACTCCCACTTCCACTCCCTACCCAATAGAGCCCGGCTGTACCACTTGTGATTGCGGTACAAATGACCAAGGGGAAGCATTGCCATGTTGAATATGTGGAAAGCAATTTCCTAGAATGGTGGCTGTAAGTGTGTGCTCTCTGCCTATTGAACTACATGTTCAAATGACCCAGTTTTCCCACCTCTGAGCTAACCTTTCCAGACAATCTGATCTGAGACTCTGTGCTTGCGGGCTTTCCTGGAGGGATGCACCGACAGATGGATGAACTTGCGCTCCTCATTGATCTCAAGGATGAAGATGAAGCCGGCTCAGATCATGTCACCGCCTTGTGTCACATCAGAATCGAGGGACTGTGACGAATTGGGAAGGTGTACAAGTTTTGTTGTTATTTTAAACAATCTGGCTTAGGTTGATTTCTATTCAATATAAGACAGATGTTTATCTCATGAACTTGAACTTGAAGGCTGTGTCGTTCCGACCTTTACGACAAGCAATCCAATCTTTGTGTCCAATATTGAAATTACCTGCATACCGTTTGCCTGAGCATTTTTCTACCAGACGACAAGGTACAAAAAGTTTCAACAGTCTGTCCGCAAAGCATTCCACTACTCCCACTGATGAGATGAACAATTTTCAGGAGTCAGTGTTCTCAGAAAGATCAGCCAATTCGTATCTGCTTCAGTCTTTAGACAACTCTCAGGAAACCCTATACTCAGAGAGTGCCTAACGGAACTAAGATTTGAGAACATTCTTATCAGGATATACTTATTTCAGATTGCTTGCTATGCGAGAGGGACCATCAATCCTGGGACCAAAATTGTATTGGGCCGATGCTAGATCCGAATACTTGGGGGTGCCACATTGATGGTCCACCAAACCTAACCGTCAATCTGTGGCGAAGAGACGGCGGAGCGAGGTAAGGGTCTCGTCCAAGGCATCGGACCTCCGGATCGGTACCGTAGTTAATGACTGGCTTCCACTTCCACCAAACTCCAAAATCCATTCTACCGGCAGCCTGTTCTTGCGTCCTCTGGGCCTAGACGCGCTGTTCATTGCATCAGGCGACACCCATTCCCATCCATCGTGAAGGGTGATGTAAGCAGTGAAGCGAAAGTATCCCCAGCCTAGCGACGACTTTGTGAATGGTGGTTCCCGCAGTGTGACAAAACGGTGGTTCCGGAAAGTCTCGTGTAGTATGAGGTCGACAGAGTCAATCAGGTCTGTGTGCGAGCTCTTCAGAAAAAAAGTCCAGTGATGAGTACGTGTCATTCCCGAGTAAGGCGAGATCGAGGGCGGGACATTTTTGTGCGTGTTTCCAAGCTGGATGATCATGAGTTGGTCGGTCTCAGTGTTTTGCATGGCTCGCTCCTGGTATAAGATCGGATACGTTGACTCCAGCTGGGATGAACGAGCCTCATCGAGAACAACTGTGGTCTCAGTTCGGCATAACGGGCATCCGAAGGAGATGCCGTCAATCTCCGGCTCCGAAGAAATGCGGAAGGATCCGTCGAGAGGCTGAGGCTCGGATTTGGATGTCGCGATCCATGTCAAGAGACAAGTATGACAAGCTGCATGCCCACAGGCGGTGGTTGTTGCCGGATGATAAAGTAGTTGTCTGCAAATGGGACAGAGGTCGTTGTCGTCACACTCCACAATCTCGTTTGCAGTGGACATGATGATAGGTATTTTTTTTTTTTTTGGCTTTCCTGCGTATGCCTGTCCTTTCGTGTGAAAGCTGAAGTGTCTCGTTTCAGGCGACACCTCTTCGTATCGCTGAAGTATGGCCAAAGTGCCTTTTTCTGTTTTTCGAAACCGTGATCAGCCGTGCTGAAAGCCAAAGCGGCTGATTATCACAGACTTGGTGTCACGAGGTTAGCAACGACGGCACCAAACGGACAGACTACTGAGATGCGGGTAGTCCTGACTCCTGCCGCTGATCCGGTTCACTGGTGTGATCTGGTTGGCGTACGTAGCTGCTCCGATTGCATGCAAGAAGCAGTGTCATGTGTATTGAATGAGATTGGGCAATACCTGGAAAATTGTGGTGAGCTGGGTAATCAGCAATCAGTGGCTGCGTTGTGGCTATCAAGCGAGAGCAAGGAACGAAGAGGCTAAATGACGTGCAATCTACGCTGTGAAAACTCGTTGGAATGGACTATGGCTGGAAGATCGAGCGAATGCCACTATTCTGTACCACTAAAGTCATGTTCTCTTAAGTGGTGACTTCCTTGCATTTATTTTGAAGCATGCTAGGCAGAAGCGGTGGGTGCCTGGCCACGCTCCGCCCAACATTCAAGGCGCACGCACCGCTGGCGGTCAGAGTCATCGGGCAAAGCGCTGGAAAGGCTGAAATTGAGCAGGACAAACGTACGTTTGAGCTGCATTTGAAGGCTTGGAAAATCACTGTCCGGTCTCGACCTGCCGGAGCCTCATGTAATCAGGTCGCCTCGAGCAAGACAATAGACGTGCAGGGAAGCTGAGTTTCAGGAGTGGTTCTCACTCCACATTCGTTCAATGACTGCATACCTGAAAAATCACGCAGTTTGCGGAAGAGGGCGGGTGGCGGAAAAAGGACTACCCTGGGAATTTGATCCTCCTGGCTTATCAGCCGCAATTCCATGCTCAGCTATGTGAGAGTGGAGAGCGTGACGACTCCTTGCAATGGTACCCAGGCCGATGAACGGACATCTCACCAGACTATTGACATATCTGGACGACACATTCCGTCGCCCTGTCGCCTGTGGCCTATCTGCCCGAGAAGTGGGGGCTCGCGAAAACCCAAATGCTGCATGGGTGACTGACGTGATCTTTGGTGATAATGAGGACAACGCGCCTCTGGCATACTTATAGCATGATTATTCCGCCGCCTCCGAATGGCTCCCACCCGCAAAATTTTGTCGGGGGTGACAGATATCATTCCATTCAGAACAACAGTTCATCATGGGACTTGCAGAGAAAGCAGTCGTTTCTGAGACCAAACTCGGCGGATCCCAGGACCCGACCGAGGTGAAGCCGAAGTCCTCATGGAAAGGTTATTTGTGGGACACTTGGGCCCTTCCCCAGGATCAGCGTCGGCTGTTATTCAAATTGGATGCCTTTGTATTGACATTCGCCTCGGTACGTGTACTATTTACCCGAGTTACTCTCATCAATTCAATGCATGACATACTCTAACGTAATTACTCTTCAGATCGGTTACTTTCTCAAGAACCTTGATCAGACCAATGTGAATAATGCCTTCCTTAGCGGCATGAAAGAAGACCTGCAAATGTATAGCAATGAGCTTGTGACCAGCACATCCAGTCAGTAATTCTCCTAAGTTGTCTTGAACTCATCTATGCCAATGGCAATTATAATGCCTGGAACGCGGGAGTCATATATATCTCAAAAATTTCCCTATCAGCCTTCGTAGCTTTGAGTCCGCATATGCATCTGCTTCTCCGATGTCTAAGTCCACCTGCTGACTTTAGCCAAGTTTATACTGTCGGATATGTTATTGGACAAATCCCGTCGAACCTGTTGCTTACACGGGTCTCTCCAAGATGGGTGATACCTATGGTATGCGTCTCACTCACTGTCTAGTCACTTTTTGAAGTAAACTTGAGAATTTCATCATCCGCTAATATTCGAGACATAGCTTGAGTGTGGATGGGGCATCGCCACGATATGTACAGCGTCTGTGAAGTCTTACCGGTCTCTGTATGCCCTACGATTCCTCGTAGGCCTCTTCGAGTAAGTCTGACACAGTGGGCCCTTTATCACCCTGTTCTCCTCTTTCCATACACATCGCAACCTTGGGCTAGAGATACTAATTTTCACGCCACTCAGATCCGGCTTTTACCCAGGTTAGCTTTGAGGATCTCCATTTCCCCGGGCAAATTTTATCCGGCCAATCCCAGAACTACCTTGGCTCCCCAAGTCCCACCGCCCATTCTACCTTTCTAATGGATGCGAGCGGGATGCGTTCTGCCACATCTATGTTCTGTATCAGCTTACTTTTCGTTGTTGCTCTGTACTGACGGTATCTTAGGAATCCACTACATGTTGGGGTCCTGGTATACTCCACGTGAAATCGGCAAGCGCGCCATGGTGTTCTGGTTAGCTGGATCGATTGGACAAATGTTCAGCGGTTTTCTCCAGGCGGCAGCTGTAAGTAGCTCCAAGCTTCAGTCTCCATCTTCTTAAGCATCCTATGTCTATTCACTCCCGGCCTCGAGTAGCTCTACGTTGAGCTGTAGCTCAAGCTTCAGATGGCAATTACATTCTGATTCTCCTTAGACGAAGCATGTGAAATATGCAGCAACTGACTCTGAACCATGCAGTATACGAATTTGAGCGGCAAGGGAGGCCTTGCGGGCTGGCAATGGCTATTCATTGTGGACGGGATAATCACGATTCCACTTGCCCTGGCGGGCTTCGTATTCTTTCCTAACATGCCTGGCGGCGGGAAAACCTGGTGGATCACTGAAGCAGAGAATACTCTCTCGGTGGAGCGGATGAATGCCGTCGGGCGCGCCGGGAAGCAGCCATGGACGCGAGCCAAAGTCAAGAAGATCCTTTCTAGCTGGCACACCTACCTTCTTCGTGAGTATTCCTTCCCCCCTAACTGCCGTGGTCTCCCAGCCAAGGATTGTGCCTTTCGTGAATTTTGAGTTTTCTTGCCTATTACTCGCTTATCACATACTAATTCCGGGGCCAAAGCGTTGTGTTATGTTGTCTGGAACAACGGCTGGGCTCAGCCAGCAATGGGCGTGAGTATGCCCCAAGAGAGCCATCGATTTTGTGTTGCCTCGAGACCCATAGTTGCTGGTTACAAGAATTCTCAGTAATTCCTAGGAGTCGAGACTCTGAACAGAGGACGGGAGGGATGCCTCTAGTTCAGTATCCACTGTCAAAGAAGATGGATTGAGCTAACCCGAGGTGTTGTAGTACTGGCTCAAGAGCTTTAATGAAACACCTGCTCCAGTGCTAGGCACGTCTTTCTCAGTGGCGGACATCAACGACTGTAGGTCACTCTAGGAAAATGGATACATCTGGACACCGGCTAACTCAATCTTTCTAGTGCCTCTTCCCACTACCGGTATCTTCGTCGTGATGTCTTTGCTTTGGGGCTGGGCTTCAGACGGGCCCTGCCATGGCATTCGCTGGCCTTTTATCTATGTTGGCGCAGCCATCACAGTGAGTTACCCGCTTTTGCACCATCCTCTCAAACAGAATTGAGCGGGCAACATGTTCCACTGCTTTTCCTGCTGCGTGCTAATGCTGGAAACTAGCTACTATTCAGTGTTCTCTTGCGCCAAATGCCATTGTATGAGAACATCACTGGCCGCATGGTGGTCTATTGGTTCAGTCAAATCGGCGTAAGTCTTGACAAACGATGGAGCGCACATGAGTTTGTTTTGCTCACACAGTGCTTCGCCTAGAACGGAGCGGGGCCACTTATCCTGACCTGGATCAACGAAATCTGCTCCGACGACACCGAGAAGAGAGCACTGATCGTCGCGCTGGGCAATGATCTCGCGTATGTAGTGCAGGCAGTTGTAAGTCTAATCCGTTTGGCTTGAATCACTAGAATGAGAAACTTGTAGAACAGAGGCTGATCTTGAGTCGACAGGCACCAAATTTCGTTTGGAAAACTACCGACTTCCCAGCCGCGCGGAAAGGCTACCTCTGGTGCATTATCATGCAAGTCTTGCTGGGTGAGCCTGCCGCCCTCCCCGCCCCCTAATACCATTGACCGCACGCTTACAAGAACTTTTATTGTGAAGTTGTGGTGACTGTATCGATTCAGCTCCTTCTCTGGCAGGACCAGAAGAAGGCAGCTGCAGCCACGGAGGGACGTCTGTCGCCATCGCCATCTCCTAGCAGCCATGGTCGCGAGGCCTCAACGAGTGACGTTGATGAGCGCCAGACAGTTACCGCCGACAAAATCTCGCCAGTTTGAACCTGCAAACTGTACCTAGGTTCCGAAGAGGTAGATTCTCGTGTCTACAACAGCTGCCTCAGCGCCTTGAGATGATTAAATGTGCAAGCAGCTGTTTGGAATCAAGGCAGTGGCATGGCCGCACACGTCTGGGAACCACTTTCTATCTACTTACCCAGACCCCAAGGTAGCCATCGATAATTTCGTTTGTAAGCCGTGAGAATTCTGTAGTATCACTCTAGAAGTAGCTAGCAACTGGAAGATTCGTTGGGACAGTCGAACAGACACCCCACAGCCAGTGACTGAACTGCCCCTCGAATATCAGATCAAAATTCTTCCTGCCACTCACCCTTGATTGGATTGGGGAGGACTTCCCACGCACCGTTTGCTTAGGATGCTCAACTTGATATCAGCCTCATCCGATCAACCAGTTGGTCCCTTCGAATGCACCCATTTCTGTTAGTTGGCTCGTCCGATCGCTCTTTTGAATCCACGGAATTTGATTGGCTATTTTTCTGCAAATACCAGTGAATGGCACTCGGTCACCGAAGCTTCAAATCCCAAGTATTTAAACCCAGCAACCTCCCCTTCTTCCAACCTGCATCTTCCAAATCCAAACTTATTCAAATCCACCCATCTCTCCTCACATCGATCTCTTCCTTCTTGTTCCTCGTCACCAACTTCCTCTCTTCTGGACAGCCCTCCACCCTCCTCCCCACTCTTATTACAAAGATCAAGGCTTCTTGCTTTCCAACAAGTTCTCGTACCAGAACCACCTCTAATGCATCGAGCGATAATCAAACCTTCGAGACCTCACCATCTACAGACTGGTCAGCTTGCAGTCTTTCTAAGTACACTCTGGGTTTGATCAGCGCTCACGTAAGTTATCTTGCCCCGTCGCACATCTTTGCCTCCGTCCCCAACCTTTCCTCGCAAACCCCCTTTCCCCTGCCAAAGTTTGTTTGCAACCTTCGCCAACCTTCTCGCTTCCGTCGCTGACATGGAGCAGGCAGCCACACCAAATCAAGTGGGGGTTTGCGATTGACTCGCGATACTTCGCCACGTCAAGCTCTAGCGAACAAGTCGCGCGCGCACACACACACACACACACACACACACACACACACACACACACACACACACACACATACATAGAGGATCTCGGCATAGCGGAGACTTGCAAAGATTTGCAAGGTTGCGAGGTAAGTTCATCATCTCCCTCTTGCACACGGTGGTCCCCTCTACGTCTATCCTTTGTCTCCAGCTTTTTGAAGCCCACCGTTTTTCTTTCTGTTACACCTCGTTTGCTACCCTATGGCCCCGCTTTTGTCTTCCCAGAATCTAAGATGAGATCTGACTTTTGGGGTCTGCAGTTTCTGACGACGAGGTTGCGGCAGCTGACGGGGTTCAGAGGAACCCCTCAAGAAGCTTCAGTACTTCTACGGGCGTCTCAGCAAGAACAAGCACGCCGCGATCGAAGGCATCCCGAATGGCAAGAAGCTCATCAAGTACATCCACAGCTCGCCCTCCCCCAGCACTGGCAGACGGGGTCCAGAGGGACCCCTCGAGAAGCTGAGGCACTTGGGCCAGAGGACCCACAAGAACGCCGTGGAGTACATGTTGGACGACAAGAAGCTCCTCAAATACATCCACGGTCCACCTGGCACGGGAAAGTCGTACCCAGCTCTCTGGTTTACCTGCATCGCCGTCATGTTTGACCCACCCACAACAGACGCAGATGACGGGTGGGACCGCCCGCTGGACTTGGGACCCCAGCTCAAGCCAGAAGATTTCGATGAGGTCGAAACGGCCGCGCCTCTCCGAACAGTTCAACTGACCGATGATCAGAAGGTTGTGGCTGCATCAGTTCCTCAGAGGAGCTCACAGGAGCTCACGCGAGCTCAGAGGAGCTCGGCTTCTCTCATCAGCCAGGTCGCGGACAGGCCGGAACAGATTTACCTCATAGGAAAGAACAACACCCGCCTTGATAGTGTCCTGACAGACGCACTCAAGCAAGCCGACGTCATTTCGGCACACCCATCGGAGCAGCAGACAGGACCTTCCGTCGAGTGTTCAGGCCCCACTACATCATCAGTGATGAGAGCCCTCGCGACAAGGAGATTACCTTCCTTACCCTGATCGCCCACTTCACCCCCCAGGCGTTCTTCTGTTTCGGTGACCACATGCAGCTCAAGCCGGTGGCCTTCTCGAAGCACCAGCACCGAAAGTACAAGCCACCGAGGTCGTTCAGGGCCGCCCCCGTCGAAGATACCAGCGCTGCTGTGCTCACCAGTAGCGACGAGCCAGGCCAGGGGGAAGCTTCCAATGCAGCAGAGACAAAGAATGAGCTTGCTGACATTGCGGCTGGACAGAAGGACTGGGACAAGCCACAAGAAGCAACCGAGAAAGCCGAGCAGAGTGAGACCGAAGATGCGAAGCAAAAGCAAGAGGAAGTTCTTCCCCAATCCGTCCACGTTTGCCAACCAGTTTGAGACGTCTTTCATCCACCGTCTGATGGAAGCCAGTCATCCTTCATTATATGCTGACTCACAACTGGCGTCAGCACGGCATGGCTGGCGGATTATTCAGCAAACAGTTCTACGACGGAAGAATCAAGTTCCACGAGCGCAATGAGCGATATTTAAGGAGCTCAGAGGAGCTTGGAGGCACAGAGCTCGGAGGAGCTCAGAGGCCGGGCAACCCTCATACATGCTAACGCAGAACTTGCGTCAGCACAGCATGGTTGGAGAGTTCTTTAGCAAGCAGTTTTACGATGGAAGGATCAAATTTCGATCAAAGGCAACACTCTCATGATCAACATGGACTCGTTCGAGACCTGTGAGGCACGTTCCTTCCGCAATGTCGGGAACGTCAAGTTCGTCCTCGAAAAGGTCGTAGAGCTGCTGGCGGACTCCAACTTCCCCCAACCGCGAAGGATGGCAACGACGCCAAGGTCATGATCATCGCCCCATACGAGGTACAGAGGAACCTCTACATGTACGAGCTGCGAGCTCGCCCGCTGCTCGGAACTTGGTACAGTGGGTTCAATTCCACCAGGAGATGGACATGTTCATTCAAATCGACATCGAGACAGCCAAGGAGTATCGAATTGTATGTTACAAGTGCTATGGGATTGGCCACAAGGGACCAGAGGGCCCAATACCGGAAAGACTCTCAACTGTATGCACTGTAACAAGCCACATCACCCTCGCAACTGCTACCGGGCCAAAAAAAGACGTGTCCCGTTTCAAGGCCATCCAAGAAGCCCCAGGAAGCCAAGAAGCCCGAAGAAACCTCTTCTACAGCCGAGACTGCTTCCACTGTTCGCACGGCTCGAAACGAGCGAGAGAAGTCCAGAAAGACAAACTGGGCACTGAAGAAGATGTTCCGCGACATTCGCAAGGGCCCTGTCGACGACGATGCTACCGAAGACAACGACGATGCCGAGCAGCCCAACTCATCTGGTGGCAACGAGTTCACTCCTGCAGCTGACACTTCTGGTGGCAACGATTGGAACCAGGCAGCTGAAACCTCTAGCAGCGGTTGGGGCGGCAAGGTGTGGAAAGACACTTCTGGCGACGGAGAGGCTACCCAGCAGCGCACACTTCTGGAGGCGGAGATCTCACCCCTGCGGCTGACACTTCTGGCGGCCGAGGTTGGACCAGCTTTGGAACTGCCCCTGGATTCGGCAACGATAAACAGGGAAAGAGCTTCACAGGAGAGCCATCAGAAAGCAGTGGATAGTCCGACGGGTGTTGTTAGGATGAGAATGGATTGAGATGCAGGACTGGCACCAATGATAGGTGGATTGCGGCGGAAAGCACCATGCGAGGCTCAGAGGAGCCGGACGAGACTTCGCCTCAAGGTCGACGCCTGACCACCATCAGAATCCTCGAGAACTGTACCGATGGCTGACACCGCGATGGCGACGATCCGCTCTCCATCTACTTGGCCAAGTCGCCCTCCAAGCGCATGCTGGATATTGGCACAATCCCAAAGGGCGATGGCATCCCTTCAAGGACCAGTTGCCCGCATTCGCTGTGTTTGACACCAATGAGCAATACTACGTCACGGTGGCCATTGGAAACCAGCAAGAGAAGAAGTTCCACGACCGCCAACACGGTAAGCTGCATGAGTATGAGCTGGCAGCGCGATGCATTGGAGACCGTCAGTCCTTGCAACCAAAGAGCAGGGTTGATATTAGTTAAATTAGTTTAGTTAATTTTAAAAACTAACTAAATTAGTTTAGTTAATTTTAAAAACTAATTAAATTAATTAAAAAACTAAGAAAAAAAGCAAAGTTAATATTAATTAAAGTTTTAAAAATATTTAAATAATTATAAGCTTATTAAATATTAAGAAAAATATTAAGAAAATATTAATAAAAATTATAAAATATTAAAAAATATTATAAAATATTAAAAAATATTAATAAATATTATTAAAAAATATTAAAAAAATATTAAAAAATATTAAAAAATATTAAAAAATATTAAAAAATATTAAAGAATATTAAAAAATATTAAAAAATATTAAAAAATATTAAAAAATATTAAAAAAATATATTAAAAGAATTAAAAGAATTAAATAAATAAATAAAAAACTTAAAAAAAGTTATTTTAAAGTAATTTAAACCCTTAGCTATTAATATATTATATAGCATATAATTATAAGTAAGGAATTTATATTATATTTATATATTATAAAATTAATAAATATTATTATAATTATTATAAATAATTATTATAAATTTTATTAATATTATATATTATTATATTATATATATTATAAAATTATAAAATATATATAACTTAGCTTTTTTATAAATATATATAATATATAATATATAATATATAATATATTTATACTCCTTTTTTTCCTTCTTACTTTTAATATAATTACTTATATAAAGTAATTATTTTTTAATAAGTTTTTAAGCTAGTTATATAAAGAATATATAATTAAATTGTTTTTTTTTCTTTTATATTATATATATAATATTTATAAAAATAATTTATTTCTTTAAAAAAATAAATATTTTAATATAAATAAGATTTACTTTATATAAAAAATATTAAATATATATTTATAAAATTATATAAAAATTTAAAAAATTTTTTTAATTATAATAATATTATTTTTATATTTATATTTAATTATTTAAAAATATTAAAAATATTCTTTTATTATATATATTAAAATTTATATATTTTTATAAATACTTTAATTTTAAAAGTAATTATAAGGCTTATTTAAGCTTATTTATCCTTATAAATACTTTAACTTTAAAAGTAATTATAAGGCTTATTTAAGCTTATTTACCCTTATAAATACTTTAACTTTAAAAGCAACCATAAGGCTTATTTAAGCTTATTTACCCTTATAAATACTTTAACTTTAAAAGCAACCATAAGGCTTATTTAAGCTTATTTACCCTTATAAATACTTTAACTTTAAAAGCAGCTATAAGGCTTATTTAAGCTTATTTTCCTTTATAAATACTTTAACTTTAAAAGTAATTATAAGGCTTATTTAAGCTTATTTACTTTTATAAATATTTATTTATTATATAAATTTAAATATTATATATTTATATTAAACCTTTTTAAATTAATAAAATAAAAACAGCTTTTTAGCCTTTAAAATAATTATTTATTTAAGTTAAATAGTTTTAAAAGTTAAGATTTTATTATAAGAAATATATATATTATTTAATTTAAAATTATATATATTTAAATAAATATATAATAAATATATAAAAATTATCCTTAAATTAAGTTATATTTATATATATATTAATAGTATTTAAAAATGGTTTAATTTATTTTTAAAAGATAATATTATATATTTCTTTAAATAAATATTTAGCTTATTTAAAGAAATAAACTAGCTAATTTAAGGGAATAAACTATTTATTTTTTTTTAATCTTTAATATATATAAACCTTTTTCTTTTTTCTTTCTTTCTCTCTTTTCTTTTCCTTTATTATTATTTTATTATTATTAAGAAAATTACTTATACCTTAATATTTACGCCTTAATACTAAGAATTCTTTTATTTTTAAATATTTTAAATATTTAAAATACCTTTTTTCCCTTTATTTCCTAAAAATTCTTCCTTAATAAATCTATCTTTTATAAATAAATTTATAGCCTTTATTAAGAATAATATTTCTTTTTTTAAAAATATTTTATAAATATTTTAAAATAATAAATATAATTCTCTTAATTATTAACTACCCCCTTTTAAGGAAATAAAAATTTATATTTTTAAATATAAATTATTTATTTAAACCTTACTTTTTATTAAGGAAAATTGCCTTAAAAAAATTATAATTAAATATAATAAGTAAATTATATATTTATTTTTTTAAAATATAATTTAATATAAATAAAATATATTATTATATATTTTATTTATATTTAATTATATATTATATTAAATTATAATTAGCTAAGTATAATATATAGCTATATTTTAAATTAATATTAATAATAAAAATATATTTAATAATATTCTTTAAAAGCACCTTAATTATATAATTAATATATAATATATAATTTTAAAACAATATTATATTTCTTTTAAATATAATAATAACTTATTTAGTTTTTTAATTAATATATTAATAATTATTATTATTTATAATAAAATACTTTAAAAGGATTTTAAGCCTTTAATTATTAATGGCATTATAAGCATAAATACTTAAATATTGCTTATAATAAAACATTAAGGGTAAATAAAAATAAAAGTAAGTTTTTATTAAAAAATAATATTTTAAAAAATAAAGTTTAATTAATTATTATAAAGCTTAATAATATAGCTTTTTCTTTAAATTTCTTTATTCTTTTAAAAAAGAAAACCAAAATTAAATTTATAAAAAATAATACTTATAAAAAGATTTTAAACTTTATTATTAAAAATAATTTAGCTTTTAATATTTTAAGTTTTAAATCTTTTTAAGATTTATTATTATATTTAAATTTATATATATTCCTTTTTTATTAATAAAAAAAAATAACTTAACTTTATTTTAGGGATGCTTTAAAGATAAATTATCTTAAAATTAAAAATATTTTAAATAATACTTTTAATTTTAATTTAATTTATTTAAATTTAAATTTAAAAGAAAATATTATTAATAATGATAAATCTTCTTTTAATTTTAATATTTAAACTTTTAAATTTAATATAACTTATATAAAAGTAATAATCTCTTATATTAATTTTAAATTTTAGTTAATTTATAAATTAATTAAATTTTAAGAATTAAAAGAAAAATATATTGGCTTAATTCTCTTTAAAGAGTTTTAAAAGATTATTAAATATTATTTAAGTATAATATTTAATAGCATTTTTAAATATTTAATTCTTTTTATATTTTAAATATAAATAATTAACTTTTTATTATAGCTTTATAAGAAATAATACATTAAATAATAACATATTTATAACGGCTTTTAAAAAAAAATTTAATTTTAAATTAAATAAGTAGTTTAAAAATAATATTTATTATATAGCGCATATTATTAATTTAATAATGCAGGATATTTTAAAAGAATTTACTTAAGTTCCTAAATTAAAGAATTTTTAAAAGAATATTTAAGGGATTTAAATATAGCTCTTTCTATAAATAATACTATTAAAAATAATAAGTAATTTTATATATTAAATATTATAATATATTTATATATATTAACTTTTATTAAATCTTATTACTTATATAAAATAAGTAATAATATTAACTTAATATAATATTAAGATTAATAGTTTATTATTTAAAGGTATTAAAAAAGCTATATAAACACAAGCCTTGCTAAAAAGCTATAAAATTACTTATATTTTACTTAATATTTATTCCTTTTTTTAAAACTATTTAATAAATATTTATTAATATTTTTTTAAATACTCTTATGCATTAAAATTCTATATATAATATATTAAAGGTTTTTTTAATATTAAAAAAACCTTTAAATTATATTAATAGAAATACTTTTAATAATAAATATAAAGAAATATTCTTTAATTTATTAAAATTATTTATTTTAGCGTAAATTATAAAAACTTTTAAAGTCTTTTTTAAGCCTTTTATTAAGTTATAAGGATAATTATATATAACTATTTCTAAGGGTTTATTATATATATATATTATATATAAAAACCTTAATAACTTAATAAAAGAATATAAAAGAAAAAGAATAAAAAACCTTAAGTTTATAAGTTTTTAATTTTTTTATTTATTTATTAATTTTATAATTAATTATATATATAGGAGAAATATTTATTTAATTTTATTAATGCTATTTATACTAGCATTAAAAAATTAAAGAAATACTTTCCTTAGAAAATAATTAAAGAAAGAATAAAAGATTATAAACCTTTTATTCTTTCTTTAATTTTTAACCCTAAGATTAAAATAAGCTATTTTCAGCCTAATAGTTTATTACGCTTTTATTTTAATATAAAAGTAAATATAAAAGCTCTTTTAAAAGTTAAATATTTTAAGTAAGTTTTGTTTTAAAAAGTATTATATTATATATAATTATATTAATAAATAATAAGCTTAAATTAAAGCTTTTTAGTTTATTAAAAATAATATATATAATTATTTTTTTAAGAATTCCTTTAAGGATATCTTTAATTTTAAAGATAAATTATTTATTAATTTATTTAAAAATAAAAAGGAAGAATATATACTTTATCTTTAAAAACCTTTCTTTAATTTTAAGGTAATTCTTCTTTATATATATAATATTAATTAAATTTACTAATTAATAATCTTTAGCTTAAATTATTAAATTATTAAAAAAATAATAATCTTTAATATTTAATAATAAGTTTATTAGCTTAAAGATATCTTACTATTTTAGCTACTTTTACTATAATAAAAAGAATATTTTCTATTATTAATAATATTATTATTAAATCAAGGGTTAATTTTGATCTAGATATAATAAGGAAAATAATACTATTAAAAAATTAAAGATTTAATAATATTTAAGAGTTAAAGAATAAGTTATTAAATTTAAAAGAAGTAATAGAAAAATAATATTTATAATTTATTTTATAAGTAAAGTATAATTTATTTTATAATTTTAAATTATAATTTAATTTATTCTTTACTTATAATCTTTTTTATAATATAATTTAATATTATTTAACTTTTAAATATATATAATATATTTTTAAATATTAAATAATAAAAAATAAAAAATATAAAATAATAAAATAAAAATATAATAAAGTATTAATAATTGCTTTAAAATTGCATTATTATTTAAAGAATAAATAATTAATTTATAAGGAAATAAATTATTTATTTTAAGAATAGCGTATAATTAAAGCATTATATTAATAAATTAATAAATAACCCTGCTTTTTAAAGTTTAATAATATAATAAGACTTAAATTATTAAGTTTTAAAATATTCCTTAAGGCCCTTAATAACTATAGAAATTCTATAATATTAATTATAGCTTTTAAAAGAAAAGAAATTAATCTTTTTTTAATAATAACTTAAGTAATTATTATAATTACACGCTTTACCGCTAAACTATAATGATTACTTGCTTAAAAAAAAAGATTATAAACTATATTTAATATCTTAAAAAATATAAAATATATTAAATATTATTAAAGATAATTTTATTTATTAAAAGTATTTTATATCTTAATAATCTTTAAGTTTTATTAAATTTAATGAAACTTTAAATAATTATTATATATTATTATATATAAGAATGTAAGGTTATAAAGTTTTATTATTATTAGTAATATATAAGTTATTATTGGTTTGGCTTTTGTATGGTTGATAAACAAATAGAGTATGTAATTAATTTAGCTATGGTGTGGAGGGTAGGTTGCAGCGAAGCTGCAGCCTTTCCCCGTTTAGCTATAGGCTAGCTATGGTGGTTTATGCGCGGGGCACGTGACTGCCAGCTGGCAGCCAGCTAGCACCAGCTGGCAGCTGCTATTAATAAGACTAGTTTAAACCTTGCACCTTTAAATTTATATAGTGCTTATAGCGCACTTATTATATAAGCATGTTATATATAATGCTTATATATATTATTTTTATATTAATAGTTTTATATATATATATATATAAATGCTTTAAAATTATACTTTTTTTTAAGGATTATTTACTTTAAGCTAATTAAATTATTTATTAAGTTAATAAAAGTGGGTTGTTAGGCATTAAGGCAATACTTTAAAGTGTTTATAATTATTTAAAGAAAGTGCTTAAATCGCTTAATTTAAATCGTTTAATTATTAATACTTTAAAGTTTTAAAGTGTTTAAAATGCCATACTTTAATTAATTAATTATTACTTTAATAGCTTCTTTTTAATAATTAATGCTAAACGCTACTTTTAATGATAATTACCACTTTTACTTAATAGCAAGGCTACTTTTGCTTAATAGCAAGGCTATTTTTACTTAGTGATAAGCGCCACTTTTGCTTAATGACAAGGTATTATTGCTGCTATTAAGGCTATTGCCGTTATTATTATCAGGGTAGATTTTATAATAGTTAATTATAAGGCAAAGAGGAAGGAAAGAATGTTTTTGTGCTGCGCTTATAAATTAATAATTAGCTCTTAAACCATTTATTTATAAGTAGTAGCGCCTAAATGCTATTACTACTTAGCAAACTAACCTTTACTAGCTTTAAGGTAGTTTATGCTTAAGATCTTATTAAAGGGTATTGGTAAGAAGAGCATTAAGAAGAGGAAGGTTATGCTTATTAATTAAATATTAATTATTATTAAAAGGTAAATATTTTAAAGGTTTAATTAAGTTATTTATATAGCTAAATTAATAATAAATATTAATTATTTCCCTTAATAGTTTTAAGTTAATTAAGTAAATAAAATGGTTATATTAATGGCTTGTTTGCTAATTAATACTTTAAAGTATTTAATTAAGGGTATTAATTAAGTGCGTATTTAATTAAGGGTGCTAATTAAGTGCGCATTTAATTAAGGGTGTTAATTAAGTGTGTAAATCGCTTAAAAGAAACGTTATTTGCCAATACTTTAAAGTATTTAAGCGCCTTGTGTTTTATTAAGTGCTTAAGGGGTTTTTTAAAGGGTTATAGGCCCTAAGGGTATTGCGCGGGTGCCCTAAGGGGCGTTAATTGCAAACGAGGGCTTCTTAAGGGTGCCAAGCAAGGGCTTCTTAAGGGTGCTAAGCAAGGGCTTCTTGAGGGTGCCAAGCGAGGGCTTCTTAAGGGTGTTAATTGCAAGCGAGGGCTTCTTGAGGGTGCCAAGCGAGGGCTTCTTGAGGGTGCCACTTGAGGGCTTCTTGTGGGTGCCGAGCGAGGGCTTCTTAAGGGTGCCAATCGCAAGCGAGGGCTTCTTAAGGGTGCCAATTGCAAGCGAGGGCTTCTTAAGGGTGCCACTTAAGGGCTTCTTGTGGGTGCCGAGCGAGGGCTTCTTGAGGGTGCCAATCGCAAGCGAGGGCTTCTTAAGGGTGCCACTTGAGGGCTTCTTGTGGGTGCCGAGCGAGGGCTTCTTAAGGGTGCCGATCGAGGGCTTCTTATGGGTGTTGAGCAAGGGCTTCTTATAGGTGTTGCGAGGGAGGCTTTTCAATATAAGGATATCGCAAGAGGGCTTTTAATAAGCTGGGAAGGTCGCGATGGCTTGAAAACATCGCGAGAAAGTATTTAACGTGGTATTTTTAAGCATGCTTAATAAAAGGGTTAAAAGAAGTTAATAAAAGCAAATATTAATATATACTTTTGCTTAAGGCCGGCCATTAGCCTTAAAAGTTATTATTATTAGCTTTGCTTAAGGCATAATAAATATATATATATTAAGGATAGGAAAGTTCGCCATAATTTCTTATTATAATAACTACCTCTTTATATATTAAATATTTATTAATATTATAAACCATGCTATATAAATTTATAATATATAATAATTATTAATTAGCATAATTACTCTTAATTAATTATTTAAGGTTATTATTAATTAAGAAAAGATATTTATAATTTATTATTAATAATAAAATTAAATTATTATTAAAGCAAGGCTATTTTTTTAAACCTAACTATTTATAATTACCTTAATAATTATTAATTAATATTAATTTAACTTTTATATAATTAATAAATAAATAAAGTATATAATTAATTTAGCTATAATATAAAGGGTAAGTTATAATAAAGCTATAGCCTTTCTCCATTTAATTATAAGCTAGCTATAATAGTTTATATATAGGGCATATAACCGCTAGCTAGCAGCCGGTTAGCACCAGCTAGTAGCTACTATTAATAAAACTAATCTAAACCTTGCACCTCCAAATCTATACAGTGCCTGCAGCACACCCATTGCATAGGCACGCTGCACATAATGCCTATACATACTATTCCCACAGTTATATAAGCTTATTAATTAAACTTACTTATTTTAAACCTTGTAAGTTTAATTCCAGGGATATTTATTATATTTAAGCTTTAAAAAGAATTTTAAAATAAAGTATATATAAGGTAAATAAGTTTAAAACAGCTTTATAATTAGTTTTTAAATTAATGGGGAAAAGCTGCAAAGGAGAATAATTAAGAGAACTAAAGATGAGATTCTTTGCTAATAAATAGGTGGGAACGGTCTCCTTTTAAGTTCTAAGAGCTGTTTTAGCATGTAGGGCTATAGGGCTGCAGGCCCTTTAGCCTATATAGCGCCCTAGCCTTTTATATTACATTAAATGCCCTTAATAAAAAGGAAATAATTCCTTTTAAAATTAAACCCTTAACCTTTAAATATAAAGCGCTAAATTATATTAATTAACTATTTATTAAAATATTTATTAAAATAATTATTTACCTTTTCCTTATATTCTTAATTTATTTTCTTTACATTCCCTTCTTTAGCAATAACTTTTAGCTAATTAAAAGCCTTAATAGCCTTTATAATAAGGTTGCTATTAGCAAAAGGGCTAATAATAAGGTTAATAGCAAAGCTAGTAATAAGGCTAATAATAAGGTTAGCTATTTATTTAAATACTTAAGTACCCTTAATAATATAGTAATTAACTTAAAAGTTAAAAAAGCTATTTATATTAACTGCTTTAAACTTAATTAGCTTAATTTAATTAAAATTCTTTAATTTAAAATTATTAAGATTATAAATTTAACTTCTTTAAAAAGCAATTCTTTTTAATAGCTAAGTAAAATAATAATGCTAAGTAAAATAGCAAAATAATTATAAAAAAAGGCATTTATTTTTAATATAAGCAATAATAATTATAAGCTACATTAGCTTATATATAAATAATGCAAGGCTATAAGTATAATCTTACTTTAAATCTTATTTAAATTAAGCATATAATTAAATAAGTATTTATACTTATTATAAATACTTAAAATTAATATAATCCTTTTATTTTTAATAAAATAAAAAGGCGCATAAGCAAAAATAAAAAATAAAAAAGAGCGGGTTTAATTCTTAATAGCGCTAAGCATTTTTTTTAAATATTTTTATTAAAAAAAAGCAATTATAGCTATTATTTAATAAAAAAAAGCTATAAAGGAAAATAATTAAAAAAAACTTAAAATAAAATTCTTTATTAATAAATAAGTAGGGATAATCTCCTTTTAAGTTTTAAAAGCTATTTTAATATATAGGGCTATAGGGTTGCAAGCCCTTTAACTTATATAGCGTCCTAACCTTTTATATTATATTAAATGCCCTTAATAAAAAGGAAATAATTCCTTTTAAAATTAAACCCTTAACCTTTAAATATAAAGCATTAAATTATATTAATTAACTATTTATTAAAATATTTATTAAAATAATTATTTACCTCCTTTTTATACTCTTAATTTACTTTCTTTGCATTTCCTTTCTTAGTAATAGCTTTTAATTAATTAAAAGCCTTAATAGCCTTTATAATAAGGTTGTTATTAATAAAAGGATTAGCAGCGGGGTTAATAATGGGGCTAACGGCAAGGCTAATAGCAAGGTTAGCTACTTATTTAAATGCTTAAATACCCTTAATAATATAGCAATTAACTTAAAAGTTAAAAAAGCTATTTATATTAATTGCTTTAAACTTAATTAGCTTAATTTAGCTAAAATTCTTTAACTTAAAATTATTAAGATTATAAGTTTAACTCCTTTAAAAAGCAATTCTTTTTAATAATTAAGCAAAATAGTAATGCTAAGTAAAATAGCAAGGCAGCCATAAAAAAAGGCATTTATTTTTAATATAAGCAATAATAACCATAAGCTATGCTAACCTATATATAAGCAGTGCAAGGCTATAAGCATAGTCCTGCTTTAAATCTTATTTAAATTAAGCACATAGTTAAGTAAGTATTTATACTTATTATAAATGCTTAAAATTAATATAATTCTTTCATTTTTAATAAAATGAAAAGGCATGCAAGTAAAAACAAAAAATAAAAGGGAGCGGGTTTAATTCCTAATGGCGCTAAGCGTCTTTTTTAAATATTTCTATTAAAGAAAAGCAGTTATAACTATTATTTAATGGGAAAAAGCTGCAAAGAAAAATAATTAAGAGAACTAAAGATGAGATTCTTTGCTAGTAAATAGGTAGGGATGGTTTCCTTTTAAGTTCCAAGAGCTGTTTCAGCATGCAGGGCCATAGGGCTGCGGGCCCTTCGGCCTATATAGCGCCCTAGCCTTCCGTATTGCATTATAAATTAAAGTATTTATAAGGGTAAATAAGCTTAATTAAGCCTTATAGCTAGTTTTTAAATTAAAGTATTTATAGGAGTAAATAGGCTTAATTAAGCCTTATAACTGCTTTTAAATTAAAGTATTTATAAGGGTAAATAGGCTTAATTAAGCCCTGTAGCTAGTTTTTAAATTAAAGTATTTATAAGGGTAAATAGGCTTAAATAAGCCTTATAGCTGCTTTTAAATTAAAGTATTTATAAGGGTAAATATATTTTAATAAATAAAAGTAATAAGATTATATATAATAATTTTAAAGATTTTTTATAATATTTAAAAGTAATATTATTATATTAAGAAAACATTTATTATTATTATATAAATATATAAAGCATTATTTAATCTTTATATATAAGGTAAAACTAAGATATCTTTTTATATTTATTTTTCTAGAAAGTAAATAATTTTTAATAATATTATATTTCTTAACTTAAAAATAAAGGCTATTTAAAAGTAGTTTTATTATAATTTTAACCTTATTATATGAAAAGATATTAAAGGTTATATATAGGTGGTAACGCTAAGGGTAGGGGGGCATTGGGGGGGGGTAGTTATGTTTTAAATAAGTAATTGCCATTTAATAAATTTAATATAAATAAATTAAAACCTTTCTTTTTAAAATGCTATAAGTATTTTAAAGAATTAATTATATAAATAAAAATTATATTATAAGAAAAGTAAAATTTAATATAATTTAAAATAAATATAATATACTTTAAAAGTAAAAAAATATATAAAAAATAATTTAAAAACCTTAAAACAAAGTTTATTTTATTATTATATAAGATATAATAAGCTAGTAATAAATATTATACCCCTTAATAATAATTTATTTTAAACATATTATGTCTTATTTTTTAGAAATAAATTAACGTTATATATTATTAAGCTATAATAAGGATTTAAGTTATTAATTTTCTTTTTTTTAAAAAAATATATATATTTAAAACTTATTATTTAAATTAACTAAATATTTGTTTTTTAAGCTATTCTTTAATTAATTTAATTTAATTAAAATTAAGTTCCTATTTTTTATTTTTTAAATTATTTTTTTAGTTAATTTAGTTAAACTAAAATTAGTTTTAGTTTTTTAGTTTTAGTTAATTTTAAAAATTAAAACTAATTTTAGTTTTTAGTTAATCTTATTAACTAAGACTAAATTAACTAACTAAGAAAACTAACTAAATTAACTAAAACTAACAAACTAATTTACAACCCTGCCAAAGAGCAAGGCACCGCAGTATTACTTCATGCTGATCAATGCATCCTCTGTGGGCCCTGACATCGACTACCTCCTTCCCCGAACTGGCGATTCTGCTGATATTGTCCTCCCGGGCATCTTCCCACGCCGCAGACCACGACTGAGGACATGGGCGACATTGACAACGATCACATCGGCACGTATATCAAGGACGCAATCAACAATGTTATCGAGAACACCAGCATCGAGTCGAAGTCTGCCTCGGACGAGAAGGTCTACGACGTGTTGAGCATACTGTGCGTCCGAGACGAGAGCGGCAATCCCATGGCTGCGAACCTCGAGAAGCTGCGCAGCAATCTTGAGATGATCCAAGATCTGGCTGATGATGAGACCCAGCCTCTAGAGTTTGTCAGGTCCGATCGCACGTGGCTTGCTCCTCCTTCCCCAGAGATGGATGAGGGAGCTGTCCGCCTCCGTGGTCATCTCATCAATGTACCAAGCACACTGTGGCCAGTGCAAACGCATGTCTGGAAGCTGCGAGTTCCAGTTGACAAGTACAGTGCTCCTAGACCCGTCAGACGCAAGCGTGGACGACGCAAGAAATGACTTGAGGACAATTAGAGGCTTCATTGACCGATGCAACATGGGCGACGCGGACTTCGGCGTCAAAATCACAATCAACGACGGCGACAAGACCCACAACGCAGAGGCGAATGCCTGAAGAGCAGCAACATCCGTGCGAAGGCAGTAGCAGAGGCCAAGAAGACCAATGAAACAACCCTCTCAGCCCATCGAGACCGCTCCCACTCCTTGTAAGACTCACAGCGAGCGTCAGGAGAAGGCTCGAGAGGCGACCATGGATTTCAAGAAGAGGCTCCGCAATATGGAAAAGCCTAAGAAGGACGAGACTGCTATCAACGACAACGGCGATGGAGAGCAGCCTGACACTTCTAGCGGTAATGACCGGAGCCATGGAGCTGAATTTTCTGACGCCGACGGATGGATTTCTGGTAAGAAATGGCAAGACACTCCGACTGGCGATTGAGCTGGCCCTTCTGGCGACGGAGGTCCTGCCCTTTTACGAAAAACGAGCAAATCAAACAACAACCACCAGACGAGGCCGTTCAACTCGTTGACACCGCTACCGTGCCCTAGAACACGACTTGGACCACGCTTCCAGCAAACTTCGACAACGACATCGCAAGGATATCCAATTCCGACAGAGCAAACTTTCAACAACGCTCGTGAACCGCTGTCATCTCCAGATGTTTCCCAAATCCCCATTTCTCGACCACTAGGATACTTCTCCCACGAGGTTCTCAAAGCTTCCAGCCGAATGCCTCCCAAAACATCTCGCATTAACCTCCCTTTCGACACCCACTCGCCACATGTGACCTACATCGTTTGTGTCGAGTTACACACCACTTAGACCCTCGGGGACGCCTTCATTGGCCCAGTCTCTGGCCATAAAAACCTCCCGCTGTCCTCAAGAAAAGTAATTTGCCATCACTAAGCACCGACAGGAAGTCTTGTACAGCAAACAAGGACACACGTGTTGCGTTCACAGGTATGACTCCCTAAATTCAAAAATTCCACATTTTGCAGTAGCAGCAAGACTAGCAACAAGACTGACAGATACGTACTCAAAGCCAGGACTTTCGTGACCTTCACCATCCCAAGAATGCCCAGAGAGAAGAAGTGTTCTCCTCTCAGAGCAACCGAGACAGTCATCAACGCTGACGAAGGCTTCAACATAAGCCTGGCAACATCCTCACATCCAGATTTGCACTGATCGACCGTCTCTACTCGGAACGCCCTTGGTAACCGACCAGAATTCAGCCTAGTCAAGTTTGCGAGAACCTCTGCCGAAGCTGTACACGAATGACTTCCACGGGAAGGTGCTGGCTGAATCGCTTTCAGCCTACCCTATCCTGCCCTTGAGGAGCTCTCACGCCATGTTTGGGCCGAAACACGCTCACGAAGGCCTTTCAGCCTGCAGAGGCACCCTCCGCTCAAGATCTCACACTCAATCGTGCGACTAAGGAAGCTCTAGCTGCCTTTTACTGAACAGGCGCAGCTTCGAACTGCGATTACTCATGATGCCAGATCATGCCCGAAAGATGCAACATGCGCTCTGCCTCCGTATCTGAGCAGTATGTCATCTGAGACTGACCTCAATTTCGGATTGAAATCTTCTCATTGGATGACTTTCTTCTGCTCTCAGCCAACAAAGGCATGACCTACTCAACTACTTTGGCCTCGCAGGCTTTGCGCCCAACCAGCCATCAACTCGCCTTCGATTGAAGGATACTAGAACCACCATTGCTTGCAGTTTGTCGTTGGCTGCTCCGTCTGAAAGCTCCTGCTCATATTCTCTCGCAGCATATCTATCAGCCACATGCTTCCATGTCCAATGTGACGTGTTTGCCAAGCCGTTCTATTCTTGAGACCACCTTCGAAGCGAACCCCTCAAACCAGGACATCCTCGATCTTATCACGCACGCAGCTGATTCCGAAGCTGATGCAAACCAAACCATGACAGATGACCTCTGAGGTACATCGACAAGTTGGAATCACTGTAGCTTGTAAGACAGCCTCTGGTACCATCACAACCGGAAATAAGATCGATGGAGTTCAGCCTCGCGGAGGTGTGGCCTCGAGGTCTCGAAACAGGAGGAAGCGTTCATGTCAACCCCCCGCGCGCCCTTGTTCAAAGGTGCTTCCTCTCCTTCTGCCACGGTCCGCGCAGAGCCTCAGGCCATGATTATGCCACAGGAGCTGGTGTACAGAGACACATGTTTCACGGATATATGACAAGATACCTCTGGACAGCAGTACGTCGGAACGTTCTAAGAACAACACCTGAGATTCCTTCATGGACGAGTCTGAACTTGGAAAATTTCAGCAGAGTCAGGCGCCTTTTGGTCCCAGCATATCGTCAGCTATCTGCGCTTGAACCAGCAAGCTCATTGGTCAGGTATTCCAGAGAGACAGCATTGCAATTCTCAGTTGCTCGGGAGATGGTTGCAACGGAACTCAGATACGTGTTGCCGTTGCATAATTATCTCGTCAGACGTTTCCTGGTGCTTCTCCCTGTAGACTTACCTCCAGGCATCTTGTTCGACAATACACAAAGCCCGTACTACACGATGTTCGGACAATACCCTCGTCGAAGCGGTCGATCTTCCAAGTGAGACCGAGCTTCAAGCGTAGCACGACCCGGTGGCTGGCATGGCCCCTGTGGAATCTCGAGCACGGGTGCGAATGGACTTGGAAAATGAAGCACACATGAAGCTTTTCCGTGAGCGCAGGGTCAACGCGGTTGATACTGAATGTAAAGTTCTCCCCCCCCCACCCCAACCTCCACCGCTCAATGCTCCAACGCATTCATCGAACATGAGTTCCATCCCACTCAGCGAGGCGCTTGATTTGATGACTAAGGACACAATCTCACCACTCCTCGAGCTGTCCTCAGCGTCCAAGGCTGCTCAGAAGCCTCCCTGAAAGAAACATCGTTGCCCGCCCAAGATATTCTCTCAACCGAAGACATTCACCATCTGGGGAGCTCCATAATCAGCTGGTCCGACTCTGAGCTGGCTCTTCCACTGGTACTTCAATACCCCTAGCCACCGTCAAAGGCCACACTAGTCAAGGTAGCTAACGGAAGATGGCAATCTGGATAATGAGAAAGACTCTCATCTGCCTAAACTATGAAAGCGAGCACCACCCTCGTGGCTGCAACACGGCAAAGAGCAACGACGTCCCTGTCAAGGCAATGAAAAATGCAAAGAAGCGCGCTAGGACCTCTCCACCAGTAGAGACAATTCCCACCACTCGGGCGGCTTGGAAGCAGTGAGAAAAGGCCGCCGGACAGCGGACAGGGTATTCAAGATGAGATTTCATGACTTGCTCAAGGGCCCGGTGACCAAAGTGGTGCCAATGACAACGGTAGTGGATCTTCTGGTGGCAGCGAATGGCCGGATACCACTTTTGGTGATACCCCTTCCAACAACACCGAGTCTGGATGGCAGGCACACGACGGTCGACGCGGTTGAGGCAGGATCAACGAGTTTGAGTCAGGAGTGGTGACTTGAGTCGAGATCAAGAGAAACATCGAAGAGGGACGGTGCCGTGGCTTTTGAGCTACAGCTGACCACGTTGTGTACAGGGGTCACGTACAGGAAGGAAAACGTCTCTTCAGGAGCCTCCGTAGAGTGCAATCGGTCGCTGGCCCCTCCACGCTCCCAAGCTTTTAGACAGACCACCAATGAACAGACAATTTTGGCCTCATTTGATATACACATGCGTAATTATGATGCTCCCGATAGCTTGAAGCCTCGCGTAGCCGGGTTCATTTACTGCCTTGAGTGAGCGGTCCAGCTCCAGGGAAAGGCGTCAGGTGACGTCTCGTTTGGTGATCTATACATCTCGTTTCGAGTCTATTTGTCGTCATCGCTCACCTCGGGGTGGGGGGGGGGGGGGTTGCGTCTACGGGTTAGGAGCATATCAAGTTTCGGGTTCCGGCTTCGAAGGGAAGATTACCCCCTGTTGGATAATGCCGTTTGGATAACCTCATATGGGATAATCTGCCGTGGGAGACCCGCCTGTATGGCGCCTTCCAGTGGTATAGTCAGTTTTGTTTTACTCTCAGGTCTCATCAAGTAACCTGCCAAGGGACATCAGATCAAAGTCAATACGGTTGTGAAGATGAAGGACGGCTCTCGGCTTTCCAAATGCCAGGACTCATTTGTGAGTCAAATCCACATGGCCCCAGCATTACACGCTATTTCGGTCTCTTTGCAAGGCTCGATATTCAGATCTGATCTATACGAGGCCACGATATCTATAGCTTCCTCTTTGCCGGCAGCTGAGCACCTGGTACAAGCAGTGTCCAGATCCACAACAGGAGCTTCGTGCATAAAGGCGGATACAAGAACACAGATTCCCTTTCATATTGTAAAAAGCGGTTGCTCAGGAAATGAGGATCCTTGAATGGATGACAAGAAAATTATGTAATTGTCTAATAGATTCTATCAAGGCCACATCGCATCCCAAATGAACATCCAGTGCTTGTAGTACTGCTCCTTCGGGCCCACGATCATACTGCGGCCGTACCCACCCGGCCGGATCTTGTATGGTCTCGTGTAGATACCATCCTCCTTGAGGTGTCTCTTCTGTGTCGTCAAAATCGAGAAGCTGCTCCTGCTGTTGCCGACGAAGTACTCGCTCCCGACCAGGACGATGTAATCGACCAGCCCCTGCTGGTCCCAGCTCAGCGACGCCAGCTCGTCCGCGTCGTCGCCGGTCAGAAGGTCCGCCTTGCTGACCACCGCCATCCCAAGCTTGTCATCTGCCGCGGCTGAGAACTTGTGTGCCTCGCTGAGGTTGCCCGTCGCCACGTATGCCACCGCGAGGCCCAGCTCCTCAGCCTTCTCAAGGTATTTCTCCTCCTGTTCCTCGTAGGATGGCCAGAAACTGATGGTGTCGGCCTCTGTGCGCAGGTGCACCCCGAAGAAGGCTGATGCGTCGTCCACGGCGCGCGACTTTGCTTCGATCTCGAGTGGATCCCCTGTCCGAGCGTGTTGTCTTGCGAAGGTCTGCATGTTCTCCAGGGCCTTCTTGCCCAGGCGCATGACTTGCTTGTTGAACTTTAGCAGCCCTCCGTACGTGTTTGAGAACTCGGGTCCGTCGTGCCACCGTGGGTATTCCCAGAGAACGCCTGGGTAGTCGGTCATGCGGAATAATCGAGGATGTTGTGCTGATGGCGGTGTGCCATTTTCTTCGGATCGTACCCATTCCCTGAAACTGTCTGCGATTTTGTAAGCGAATAAATCCGTGTAGCTTCAGAGATAGCAACTAGGTTGGCATGGGGTTCTCATTACGAGACCTGTGCGATGTGGTCGCGGGTGTCCTACCTCCGAAGCGATCAGTGTGCTTATCCAGCTCAGCACCGTCACAGTCGCCCCGATCTGAAAAGTGTCGCGGGCTGATCTTTTCGATGTTGGGCCCAACCGAGCTATTGGCCGTGATGGCGTTGGGGATGTGTGCCCAAGAGTCATAGATCGTAATCTGTGGGCAGTTCTCGCCCATTCCTTTTCGGAAGTTCTCCTCGTCGAAGAAGTAGCTGAAAGGTCGGTAGTCTTTGCCCGAGTTGATGTCGATGATGTTCGCGTCGTTCCTTTTTTGTATCGCGGGCATCACGATGCCTGACACGCCTGCCTCAATGGCATATCTCATGCACGTGAGGATGAAATTTCGGACGTTGCCGACGCCGCCCCAGTTATTGTCGCACAACCACACGACGCCTTCCACCCACTCCGTAACCTCGTTACAAGCACGTTCTAGCGGCCACCCTATGAATGGTGCGTCGGGATCTGAGAAGTCGATGTCGCTGACATCCGGCTTGCCGAGACCTTTGACTGCCGGGCTGGTGTTGCCGATTCTGCCGTCGTCGCCAATACGGAACCACGAGTAGTCGACCGACATAGCGGGCATCTGTAGGCGAATAGTCCATACTGCGAGGAGAAGGCCAACGGCCAGTACAGGTATGAGTTGGGTGCGACCCATACGGGCCATGCCCCCGAGAGGCTTGTTTATCATGATCCAGGCTGGCAGTAATGAGAGTAATGGGTAGGTTGACAGAAACCCAACGCCTGAGGTGGCACCTCTAATGCTTTAATTAGAAAAACAGGAATAGATTAGTGGCCTACATTAAAGTTGGCCGCGAAAGGAGGTGCAAAAATGATAGGACGGATGCCGACGTGAGCATTGACGTCGACGCGAGACTGCGTTGTCTTGAATTACAAGTAAGACATACTCTAATTCTTGCATAGTAAATTTGACAGCCGAAAAAGCAGCGTGGGGATTATTCGTAGAAGCGAATGCAGTCTCAGCCGCGAAAATGCATCAAGTGGGCGCCAAATGGCCTCATTTTCTGTGCATCCTTCGAGCCGGAGGATTCGGCTGGATAGAGTTTACTTCGTGTTTGACTCCTTCGAAGCGTGTGCGCGCCACCCTGAACGTACTGATGCAGGGTCTTGGCGTAAGTCCAGCCTGCTTGGCGCAGCATCCCGCCGGCGATTAAATGAGACATATGTCTCGATTGAGAGTCAGTGTGGACCTTTTCAGCCCCTATGAAGTGTCTCAGCCATGTGCACAAGATAGTGAGATTCAACCATCCCACTCATCCCCTTCCTGCATGTAGCCATCCTGGAACTCACCCGAACCGAACCCCTGCGCGATTGTGCCTCGTACCTCATTGCTTATTATGATGCATCAGAAATATGGCCTCTCACGCCTATTCGGTATCCCCGAGCCGCAAGCAGTGATTTTCGCCGTAAGCTGCAAGCCACTGGTAAGGACATAATAAGCCTAGTGTCAGCCCTCACAACATTCGATCAAACTCCGTGCAGAGCTGTGGACTGAGCAGCAGATTATCCGCCTGTACCTAATCGTTCCCGTTAAAGAATGCAACACGCGAACGGGATGGCCGTGAAACGAATCTCTCAAGTCATATGTCGGCACTGGATGTACTCACTCGCGCTGTAACCATTTCGACAGGGTGCATTACTAGCAGACCCAACGATCTGGACCACAGGTGAACGGGCTGAAATCCTATCTGTATCTCCAGGGCCTACCCTGTCTACCAGTCTAACAAGCGCTTTGAGAAGCACACTCTTGAGCTATACTTTGGAACCAGGGTCGTAGTCCGTCTTGGCACCAGTCTGCAATCCAGAGCTTATTTCTCCCACAGTGAACTCGGCAGCTGTTGAGACGGGATGTTCGGTGTGAAGCAGTTTCCAAGATTGTATAGTTTCCATGATATAGGCTTGAACACGTGTGGCAATTGGCGGGTGTGCGAACACCCTTTGATCTGCTTGCTCGCTGTGGTGCGATAGTCGCATCCTGTGCAAGGGACGCCACATCTCGAACCGCTAAGACCAGCTAAGAAAACGAAAACTGCCACGCGTTTTCGCCCAGCCTGCTTGGATGCTGGTATGGTTTATCAAGATTGTCCGAGGAGTGCTGCTTTTCATAGCCGTCGGAATAGACGAATCTATTAGACCCTACGGAGGAAACTTAATCTAGGTATGCTGATATTAGGGCATGGTATTTATGCAAACCCATGGAAAACAAATGCGTCGACCTGCCTAACACTGCATCAAAGAGTGCCACTATGTTTTCGCTACCTGATCTCTTGCGCGAACGCTAGTTGCCACATAAAGCTAATTACAAGTAGATCCTTATTTCGTAGACCCTAGATGTCTCTTCATGCCCCCTCCCTCGTAAACTCTGCTCAAATGTTCACGAGTCAAGTAGAATCGGGTTGACGACAAACATAGCGTCCAGAAAACGGGACAAGACAGAGCAGGGAAGACGAACTCATTCTTTCTGGTTTGTGTGATCAGATTTACAGAAGCTTCAGAGTGTGCCTCAGTGTGGAGATGTGCCAACATAGTTACAGGTGGCTGATTACTCAAGCCAAGATGCATTGCGCGGCTTTTTAAACTCTATCACCTCGCGTCAGGTCACATGGCTCTCAGCCGTGTGTGTGTGGCAGAACAAGCCTAGCGTTCCAATATCTACCACGCCCATAGGTTTGAATCACTGAGCGATGACTCCACCGTTTTGGATCCACCTTGATAGGACAACGCTGGATACGTCACAGCATTTGCCCCGGACCCCCGTCAGTGATTCCACCACTGACCCAACGCTGTGCATGAAGTCATATACAACCGAAATTCACAGAAAACATGATAGACGGACTAGGTTGTGGAAGAAACTAGGAAAACGAGATGAGAGCGGTTGCAGCAAGAACACAGGCTCGGCAGGTCGATCAAAAATCAAAAAACATACAACACCGGGTATTCGCTGGTCGTCACCGACCCAACTACTAATCCAGCGGTCAGCAGCTTGTCTATGGGAGAGCGGACGGGATCCCGAATTTTCTGCTACCTATGGTCGTATGTGCTTGGATTGTGAAGAAGGTAGACTATATGTGGAAATTGCCTGACTCAAGCCAGAGCCGCTGAACCTCGAAACACATCTCGGACACCGTAGAAGATAGACTACCAAATAATCTCGCGAATCATTGTCGACCCATTTTGAAATGTCAGTGCGTAAATACATCTCTTTGCTATATCAGAGATGATGGCTCAACGTACCATACGTATCAACCTTTCATACTGTACTGGAACATCATGTAGCGGTAGTAATCTATCTCGCCCGACCAGAGCACCTAATTCATCCAACAGCAGGCATCTTGAAATTATGGGATCGACAGACCTCGGTGAAAATTTCCCCAAAATCATACTCTTAGCGTTCTATAAATATGAAGCTCTAACCGGGGCCCGACAGGTCCCGGCACTCTCACCTGGCCATCCATGTGTATATATCATGAGCCCTCAAACCCCAGCCTTGGAGGCCACCGACAAAGGCAGCCGGACCGGCGAGATGGACTGAGGAAAACATCACAATGGCCTCCAGCACAGAGGGCGCGTCCACGGTCGAGAACTGGTACGATGTGGTCAACTCCGTCCTCAAAGCCATCCCCTGCAGCCAGGCTTTCGACGCAATCCTACCGGGGGCCTTCCAGGACCATTGACGGCGTCTATATTAGAAAGCACCTCTAATTTCTTTCACTTTTCAGTTCTTATGGTAGCTTAAGAACTTGCAGTGGCCTGATGCTGAGGTAAATTCTGAATGCTGATAGAACAACAGCCTTTCTCGAGGCAGTGCCGAGGATTGCATGTTTGGTAGACATTTTTGATCATGCGATTCATATAAATCGAGCAGGTGTCTGTATTGGTAGTAGAAGACTCCAAAATATCGACTTTGCTTGATGTCGCAGCGCATCCTGTCAGCCCTGTGGAAGTCACATCACGTTTCAATGCCCTAGCTTACTCGTGCCATTCCCTGACGCATTCTGTTGCAACAGCCGAAATTTGGCGATATGTAGCATGTCAACCTTCTCAGTCATAGCCTATGGTTTGGGAGCGACGTCGTGAAAGCAACTTGGTCATGTGCCCCAGAATGCTGATTCAGTGTGCCCCTAACTAGAAACCATCCTCATTCAGTAGCATTCGCACGATTGGTATTACTGGTTTCGGATATGGTCAAGGGAGGGACTTTGCCCTTCCACTGGATGAAGTAAAAGACAAGCGCTTGTTGCAGCATCTCCGAAACGGCTTAAGGGGAAGAGAACGGATATTCGCACCTATAAAAACGGATGGTACACCGATACATCACTTACGCCATAGCTACACCTAATCAAAGCTCATCACCTAAGCCTATTTACATACTTCCACACCTAAAATCTATATACTTAATACTCATAAACTTAATAGGGTATTAAGTATATAGGTATTAGGTATATGGGTGTTAGGTGTATGGGTGCTAGGTGCGTGGGTGCTGAATGTGTGAATTGGGTATGGGTATTGGTTTAGTACTGGCGATGTATCGGTATACCATCCGTTTTTGCAGGTGTGAATAACTGTTCTCAAGGGAATCAGTACTTTGGGGACGCAAACATTGAAATAGATGTCAACTCGCTCGCTGTGCACTGTCATCAAGGATCGTGCGACTCGTGCGAGCAGGGAATTTCGGTCCACGGCCATCTGGGACGCGGCAACTACCTTCTACAGCTGCTTGAAGGACCTCGAGCTGGCCTTCCAGTGGATTTTCGGCCAATCAGATAGATGGGACTCCTGAATACAAGGCTATACAGCCAGAATTGACTGCTGTTCCGACCTTGTTCTAGGGGCATGTAGTCTAGTCATTGGAGTCTACCTGCAGAGGATGCTCTGACACGGTCGCTTCAAGACTGGTGAAGCAAGTTTTATGTTGTTTGAAATTCTGCATCCGGCAGGAATCTGGAGACGCATTCTTGGGAGTGAGTTGCCACAGATTCTGAAGCTGACAATACCAGCCATCGTGATTTACGAACATCGTACCGGTGGGATCTATCAGACGCTGGCCCTCACGTCTCCGTTCGTGGCAAGGGAACATTGTCTCGGCCGCTTCTACACTCTACGCTGGTAGTAGTTACGACTTCTGATGTTATGCACGTGATGTGTTGCTCCTGCAGTGCATACAATAGAGCAGACAGTGACACGGTAAGAGAGGGATCATGGAACCACAGTGCAAGTCACATTAGTATTTTTCCCAAACAAAACCAGGCCTGCAACAGGCCTGGCTGGTCAAGTCTCTCTATATACCTTGGAAAAGGAGACAAGACATCTGTGCGACCATCACTTGGCCATACCACGCGGCAGCTGTATGTGTAGGTAGTATGTAGAAAGCCCGTACGTCTATTCCACAACGACGACGATGCTGTGGATTCATCTTCAACTTTTCCAGGTTCCCGGTGCAAATGCAATAAGTGCATGGCGTGAAAGCAGTGGGGAAGTCATGCATCATCGTGTGTCCGTCCGATTTCGTGTGCACCTCGGATATCCAGGCCATAAAACAAGAACACGTGCTCAGTAATGTCCAGTGGCTGCCGTCGTAAAACCAAACATCAAGAAGATTAAAAACCGCAAATAGACAAGCCGACGCCATGCAACCAGCACACATGGGAGGGCGTGGGTGTATGTAGAAGTGTTCAAAAAAAGAAAAAACGGTGCCACTCGCACAGCTGTAACCAGCCCCTACCACCATACATGCTTCTAGTAGCGCGTATCCGTCGTAGTCGAAGGGCGCCATCCCTAATAGCCCCTTCCATCACCACGATCGCCGCGATCAGCAAGGTTCATTGAAGCAATCGCATCGGCTGTCCAGTCCTCCTCGTTCTGCAGAGACGGGTTGCGTGCGTGCCCGCCCGGGCCGTATGATGGGTGCATGTGACCTCTCCAGTCCACGCCTTGGAACTCAGGAAGTCGAATCTCAGGTGTCTGCTGGTGCATGTCGGGATGTGGACCAGAGTCCGGTCTATTATCGTGGTCAAATTGGCCAAAGTCGGGCAGATCAAAACCGTGTCCCTGTGGTGCGGACGGTCCTGTAGGCGTCATCTGATCACGGCCGTTGCCATTTCCATTCTCCCCAGGCCGTTGTCCGTAATTGGCGCTCGCCTCCGGTGGGATCGCAGAGATGCGCTCAAGTTGTGACTCCAACTCCCTCTGCTCGAGAATCTGCGGGGCTGGCTCGACGTTTCGCAGAGTGCTACCCACAGAGGCCAGGCCAATCTGCGCGCCGCTGCTGCTTCGATGGCTACCGTAGCTGGCCCGATGAGCCTCCTGGTTCGCGTCACCGTCGCCGTTACCCAAGCCAGTTGACGCATCCCTGATGGCGAATTGTGCTATTGTTCTCATCTTGCGAGATACCCATCCGGCGAGGATTTTGCCACGCTGTTTCTCGCCAAGGCGGGAGCGAGGGAAATCGCCCTTTGACACGAAGGCAACGATGTCAACAATGATCTGGTGTTCGTTGAGAATAGAGTCGACGATAACAGGTACAATTGAGGCGAGATATGCCTTGCGGCTGACCTCCACAACCACGACGACAAGACCGCCAGCTTGGAAGATTGCACTGGTTGACACACTCGTTAGCTTATCCGACAGCATTTATGAAGACTCGCGTGGGCGACTTACCAGCCTCCAGAAACGATGTTCCTGTGGCTCTTCTCCACCGACGCCTCAATATCCATGGGGTAGTGACTCAGTCCATTGATCTCGAACGTTTCACCAATACTTCCCAACACGAACAAGACCTGCATATCGACTTGCGCACCACCTGGACCGATGGGTCTGCTAACACAGTGGAGGAAGCCAAGGTCACCGGTCCTGACGTAGCTGATACTCGGGTCTCCATCAAGTGTGCGGCCATCGAATCTCTCAGCGTCGAAAATATCCTTCGAGCCGTAGAAGCCTTTGACGCAGGCCTCGGAGTCGACCCAGATCTCACCATACTCACCATCACAACAGAGTAGACGACTCTCGGGGTTGACGATTGCAATCTGCGTGGAGACTGGGACCATGCCGGAGTCCTGGAGAAGGAGAGCCTTGGGGTCTGTCTCGGGGTCCGTAGGGATAACAAGACCACGTCGGAGAGCCTTGGTGTCGAGCCAGAGCTCGATCGGTTCGATGCACATATACGAGCGGGACGCAATCATCGGGTTGAGGACGTGAGAATAAACCGTGTTGATGGCCGTGCGATCAAGGCCAGTCGCTGCGAAGTGCAATCGCACTTTCTGGAAAACATCGATCCGCGGCCGGCTCTCCGCCGATATCATCATGTTCTTCATCTCGTGTAGCGTAAATCCCTTGCCTGGCATGAGAGCCATAGCGTGATCAAGCATCTGAGGCGTGGCATACGTGTCCTTGACCTTGTATCGCGAAAGAATCATGAACAGAGAGATGGGGTTCTGTGCGAACTCCACGGGCGAGAGCAGGTACGTGGGCGTGCCAATGTAGATCCCCATGAGACAGGTATGGATGAAGCCCAAGCCCGTAGTACTTCTGACACACCCCAGCACTGGCCGAGAGCTGGTCATTTGACAAGTCTCCTTCTGGACCTTGCACATTCCGAGGATTGTGTCATGTCCCAGCTGCACGGCGAGCCTCCTCTGATCGGGGGTCCAGTAGGTCCAGATAATCACTGGGTAGCCTGGCTGTATCCACGAGGGGTCCACAGTAATTCCTAGGTCCCTCAAACCGTTGTTCTGTTTTGGAGGCTTCGTTGTGTTGTAACAAGGCGGCACATTGATCTTCAGGATCTGGGCAGACTGTTTGATGTGCTGGGCCACCGGCTTCATCTTAAGCAGGTGATCAACTTCCTGATTGACCAAGACAGCTCTGACATTGTAGTCCGCAACCAGGTGCAAGAATGCCGGGACGTCTTCGGGCAGTCGGTTTTGATCCATCGGAGCGCAAGGGATAACGACCGCACCGAGGTTGATGCACGCGTGAACGGCGAACACGAACTCCTCCGAGTGCGTATACATGAGTATGACATGATCCCTCGGTCGAATCTTGACCTTGTTCTTCAGGTACATGGCTACCGCAGCAACCCTGGTGTCGAACTTCTTCCATGTGATGCCCTTGCCCTCTTTGCCTTTAGCGTCAATAGTACAGTAGGAAAGCTCTTCGGGTTGCCTTGCCACTCTCCACTGGATGAGGTCCGTGATGGTCCTGAAATTATTGAGTGGTGTAGACGTGCGATCATCAATGACGACCTCGCGACGGTCGATACCTGAATACTGCTTGTCAACCGGTCCCAACACCTCCGCTCGAGAATCTGAAGCAATGTTGGACCAGATTCCACCTATTGGGTCGACACCAATGGGCAGGTTCAGAACGGCGTGCTCGACACCAAACTTGACGTGCACAGCGGGCAGATTGCCGAGGTCAAACTCCTTCCGACAAAGCATGTTTCCGATCTCCCTACGGCCGTTCTTCAAGACCCTGGGGAGTGAGTTTGGCGCAGTGATCAGCACACAGTACACGCGCAGATGGTGCTCCTGCATCAGAACATCCATGCATCTTTCGGATAGAGAGTCCAAGAGTGCGGTATCTAGTTGCCGTGGTGGGCCACCAGAAGTTGCAGGCGCCGTTGAAGCTGAAGTCGATTCCAGGACCACGATAGGGAGATGTTCCTCGTTGACGAACACGTCAAATGCAGAGCAGTCGAAGATCTTGGGAATGTTGCGCATAATGCTAACGACGAGATGCTGCACGAAGAAATACCGGTATTCGGCCACTTCATGGCCGTGTTCGACCCATTCCACCTTCTGCCTAATCCGGTCCTCGTACAGCCCAAGAACGAAGACTTTGCCCTCAATAATGGTACCTAACAATCCTGTCCGCAGGAATTCTGGCTCCACAGGAGTTGGTGTCGGGTTCCCCGGGTCAAATTTATAAGGCCTGGCATGGAATATCTGCTCGGTGTGCTTGGGGAGAGCCCAGAACCCACCGGACAGAGACGGAGAGTCCACCCAAATTTCGCCGATGGAGTGGGGAGAGGCGAGCAGGCCAGTCTCCGGATCGACAACGGAAAGGGTCGCGTCAGGTATAGGGTACCCAAAAGCACCAATGCGGACGGTGGTAGAGTCGCTGGATTTCTTTCTCGCCTCGTCACCAATCGCAACCACGAGGACCTCGTTGGATTTCAAGGCTTCCCTGTCAAGGAGGACCTCACTCAACTCGTTCTTAGCGCGCTGCTCTGTCACATTGGTCGTACCCCCACTGAGAAGACTGCCACCAAAGCCGTTCGACGGCTTCTCCTTCTCTTCTCTTGCCCTCTCTGCCTCGGAATCTGTGTCATCGTCGTCCATATCCAGCTTGAGGGGGCAACCCATACGCTCCTCCCCACCGAGCCAGTCTCGAACGCTGATGACCATGCCTCCGTGTTCCGGGAGACAAAGCATGGGCGCCACCACTTCTCTTGCTCTGGGGTTCCGCAATGGCCTCAGCCATCGGTCTGCCAGCAGCTCATGGAATTCGCAATCGACCGTGACCGTGTCGATCAGGCACAGCTTTACTGACTGGAAATTCGGCTCGGTACCCTTTTTGTAGTTGCGGGTCGTCATCGGATCTTGCTGGTAGTTATAAGCAGCTCGTTTCAGACCGGGGTAGTCGGCAACCATCAGGGTGGCTCTGTACTTGGTGATGAGGTGTGCGTAAAGACCGGGGACCTCAACAGCCTTGTTTTCCAGCCACACGGTAGTGTGTCCTCCATAGACCGTCAGTAAAACGCCCAGGATCATACCGATGCCCTGGCGCGGGTCCAAGTACGATAACAATATCTCGCTACTTGCGCCACCTCCAATCAGCCGTCCGTTCTTATCGCGAAGTGATGAGCTGAAGGTATCGCCGGGCGAGTTGTTGGGCACCTGTGATATTATAGCGCTCAAGCAAGCCATTTGATGCATGATGGTCCGGTGGCTCAGCACAACTCCTCTCAGATCCCCAGTTGGGGCCCTGGAGAACTCGACGTAGGCCAGATCTGGCACGGACAGTGCCGGGGTATCGTCCTTCTTCTTTGGGTGATAGCTGCCGAACTCGTTTGTTTTCCACCACTCTACACCCTTGGGCCATGTGAGCTTCTGAATTGTAATGTCTCTCTGGAATGCCTTCAGGTTGTTGTCGGTAGTCAGGGCCAGATGGGCTTGCGTCGATGTGAGAATCAGGTTCAGTTTCTGGTAATCCTGTAATTCATTGATAGGCACTGCCACAACGCCGGCGATAAAGCAACCGAGGAGGGCGATAGCGAAGTCGATGATCTCGGTGTCGCGATATATGAGCGCAACCCGGTCACCCCTGTATAACGAGCTCTTATCCCGTATGACCTGCGCCACCTTTTCTGCCCTCGAGGCTAGTTTATCCCATGTTATAGACGCGGTCTCCTTCCCGCGATTGTCGAGAACCCAGTACGCCGGAAGCTTGGCGGATGTACGACCGCGGTGACGCAGTACCGCTGCTATATTATCGAACTGCGACATCTGGACGCTCGAGTCGTGTGGGTCGAAGATGGCGAAGGGCACCTCGCGAGGTTCGAGCGGCAGCTGGTATTCGAGGGTTTCGGCGGTTGGAAGGTCACTGGCCGTGAGCATGGGAGGCGCCATAGCGGCGGTTGGGGAGAAGGCGTCGCTCGAGGAGTATCGCTGTGGGCCCCCGTATTGTTCCGAGGGATTTTGATCGTAAGCCTGCTGGCCGGCGAAGTCGGAAAAGTAGCCTTGCGAGTCCAGCAGAGTGCCCGTCCTGCTGTCGTAAGGTGTGCGCTGCTCGGGCTCCCCATATCCGCCTTGGTGTTCCGGGTTGAAAGCATAGTCACCTGAGGCCATTGTAGGTGACCTTGTCGACTCGGCAATCCCCAGATCCTGTCCCGGCACAAGGAAGAGGGAGTCGCGTTGGCGCAGGCCAGGGCGGGAGTCGGCGAAGGTGCCGCCTGGAGCAAGCAAGGAGGCCGGATGCTGCTCGGGAGGTAGAGAGTAGGGGGACTGGGACCCTCCGGGGCCGGACGGAGAAGACATGCCAGTACCGAGGCCGGGAGAGGGCGGAATGCTGAGATCGGGGGAGTTGGCATTCAGAGCCGCAAGGGCACCTGCTCGTGTGCCATCGTTGGAGGGGTGGGAGGAGCTGTCGGGAGAGTGGATGCGCAGGCCGCCGGACGGCTCCTGCGGAACAGCACCGTACTGGGACAGCAGCTGTGTCCTACGCTTTTGGTATCTATGGGCGGTCGAGGAGAGTCAGAAGAGCAGCGCAGAACACGATCATGTTGAGGGCAGTTGAGTGCGAGAGACAGGGTGGTGGTGACAGAGGGGCGCATGGCATCGCATGGCATCGCATGACATGGCGAGGCATGTGGTTCGCAGCTAGGGCCAGAGACGGAGCGGCAGTAAGACGGATCGCGGGACAAGAACGTACCCCTTTTGTGTAATATCGCCCTCCTAGAAACAGAACAATAGCCATAGGTTAGCACGCGCCCGACACATTGGGTAGAGGTGGGCTGCTGTAGCACTTTGGCGGGTGGCCCAAGGCTGAGCGAGTGACCCCGCGATTGCATTGCCACGACTGGGCACGAGCATGGGCTTGGGCTTGGGGTGGGCGTGGGCACAGCCGGCGAAGCAGGATTCCAAGAAGCCCCCCAGCGCCCGAGCGCATCAAGAACAGGAGCAGGAGCTCAACATACTTCTAGTTCCTTGTCCAGCTCCTCCAGGCGGTCCTGCAGCTCTGGGCTGAGTTCTGGCGACATGGTGTGTGGGCAATCGCAGTGGCGCTGAAGCCCGTCGTGGGCGTGCTGCAAGGAAGGATGGACTGGTGAACAGACGGGCGAGGCGGAGGGTGGACAGGTCGATGTATGGATGAACCAAGTCGAGTCGAGTGGGCGGGTGGAACAGACAACAAGCCCGTCAAACAAAGTTCAACCTGGGGCCAGGTCCAGAATTGCTGGCTTCGGCTGTTGGCCGGCGGCCTTGGAGATGGGGGGGGGGGCCTTGATCGGCCGGCCAGTGGATAGAACGAAGGGTACTGGCTTGAGGCGATCAGCAATACGGCAGGCGACTTTGCGAATGCCCAATGCAAGTCCGTGTCTGCGGTCGTGGTTCGGTAGCGCTCGGATTGATAGAGACTGGCTGACGGACTGGACAGGCTGGACCGCACACACGCACAGTCGAGTCGGTTGATGAGCTATGTGGGCTGTGGGCTGTCTCGGTGTAGGTCCTGTGGTGCAGCGCAGAGCAGCGCAGCGCAATACGGTGCACAGTGCCGGAGTAGATATGCCCCCGCGTTTGTTGGGCAGAGTCACAGGAGCATCGAACAGAGCACAGGTAAACAGAACAGAACAGGGCAGTTGCCCAGGTATGTCTCGTGACGTAAGGCGGGTTTTCACCAAGGCGCTTTCCTGGTCCATGGTCACCTTTCCAGGTCCCCTTTTTGGGCTTCTCTTGGTCTGGCAGCGTCAGGGGCAGCAAGCGAGCGAGCCCAAGTCGGGTTAGACAAGCAGCCGAGCCGGCCCCAGGTACGTACCGCCCGTCCCGACCGGACGTGCAGGCCTATTAATGGGCATGTCGGTGGTGTACTCCCAGTCTACGCATTTCACATCTACACAGTTCCTACCGAGACTACCTAGGTGGCACCTAGGACAGTCATGACACTTTCAATTGGACCCCAGGATACGAGAGAAGGGAAGGGAAAACGGCACAACCTCGGATGGCATCTTGTCAATCGACTACACTGCTTCCGATTACTGCGCAGACAACATGTCTGGACCGACTGCAGGACCAGTCGCAACACTGCGGACAATCTTCGTCTTCATGCAGGGCCTCTCGTGCTGGAATTAGATAGACGCGGCTGTCGCCAGTTGAGCACGCAACAGACCAGGTTCCGCGTGCCCCTGCTCTCCCGATCCGGCTAGACCGACCCCAGATACGAGGTTCCACGCGGTAGTGGGTCGGTCAACTTGGCCGATGTTTCGATTGAGTCTGATTTTTTCCCCCTGGCTTCCACCCTAGGCCGCGTTTCTTCAGCACAACCAAAAACATTTGCCGCCCGCCATCAGCAGAGGCACCACCATTACCACCACCACCACCACCATTACCACCATATCAGCATCATCACCATCGATTGGAGGCTGCACTCTGGGCCCTTCGGTGTCGCTTGGACTGACCGCTGCCAGGCCAGCTGGGTCGAGCGGTCCGCAGGCAGGGCCTGGAGTGAAACATAACGAACGGTAAGCCAAAGCAGGTGCCTTGTTCAAGCCATCTTTTGCAGCTACAGCAGCTACCCTCTGCCCAATGTGATGAGAATCCTTAGCATTTCACAGACCTGTTCTGAATTACCCTGTTGATAAAATGCATCAAACATCTCCTGATTTCCTCCCACTCCACCATCACTCTGTCTCAAACTTGACCTGGAAACAATTTGCTGACATTGTGAACAGGTGAGTCTTCGACTGGGCCGTGTGACGGTGTCTTCCCGCCAGAGATCTCGGAGGCAGATGCCCCTGGCTGCCAGTTGCCGTCCACATGGGTTTAGGATGTCTACGGCTCGGGGTGGGCAAATACGATGGCTTTGTGCCACAATTCAATCGCACCTTTCTTTCACGCTAAATAGTGCTTTGTCTGATGGCCTCCCGCCCCGATTGTCTCCGAAAAAGCTTGTGCCGTTGAACAATTGATATCATGAGGCCTCATTGGTTCTGTCGGCCCAGAAACACAACAATCTCCTCGACAATGGCTCCCGGCTCGCCTTTAACAACGCCCACTCCAACGCCCACTCGTAGCATAAATGTGCCAGGCGCACTCCTCTGGGCATTGTTTAGCAGTTGCTTGTCTCCATTCACCCCTTACAAGACTATCTGTTCCCACACCTCTTCGGCTCACAAAATCCGTCGCTTGCATCAAAAGCTTGTACCGAGCTCTTGTGAACGAACGCTGAGAAGATGCACGTTTCAGCGCCCCAATACCGAAACACCAACTCACAAGCTCCTGCTGGACAGAGCATATACATTCCCGAGGAAACAGTTGGCCCCTTTACGCACACCAGGATCCCGGATGGGGTATTCGTGCCCATACCCCAACATATTCGTCCTTTCCTAGACACAAAACATGAACCAACCGCGAGCGGTTATGTCCCGAATCGTAGAGCCGATGGCAGCGATGATATGAATATGGCTAATGATTACTACTACAAAATACGCCGCCTTTCACCCGTGAGGCACCCCGCCACCAACCGCGTCCTCTCGGCTTACAGTGGTGTAGAGCTCAAACCCGATTCAAATTTTTCTGCACATCAATTTGACGAGTACATCTTCCACGCCGTCCGCAAGTCTCGCTTATTCATGTTCAGGGTAGAGAAGCAAGCCGCACTTACCGGTCATCGCCATCCGCGTGGGCTTGAGAGCACTAGATGCAGGTTTGCGAAATGCCCTATTGATGGGACTATAAGGCCTGGACAGATTCGAGTATGCATTTCCGAGTTCCTCGACCCCCGGAACGAAGTACTTGACCCTTACCACAATGCCGCTTATGTCCATCTCTACTGCCTGGAAAACTTCTGCAACCTCCCCTCACTCCTGGCCGAGACCAATGTCGCTTTCCTTCCCGCGGGCCAGCTCGCGAAAGAGTCATATTTCCCTCCGGCCCTGAACGCCGCCGAACGCGAGGCGTGCCTACAGTGGGCCGACCAGGCGCGTCAACACTGGAGAAATTTCAAGCGCGCTTACCCGTTGCCTGAAGCTCGACCGAGATATAAACCTTCAGATCATGATAGGCTTTACTATCGTCTCGAGCAGATTCGCGAGAGCCACAAGGTGACGAACAAACGTTGGCACGAAGACTACAATGGCCCTCAAGTGTACACTTATAATAACCAGGGACAGCGAGATCCTGCACCCGAACCTGCTCCCAAGAAACCTCGGATAGTGCCACCCAGAATACCCATCCCCGCCTCCGGCTGGAACAGTGGTGCCATAATTTGCCAAGGCCCTCTCCCGCATCGAATGCACTCACCAACATCTCTCTCACAGATATTCAACAACAAAAGTATTCCCACTGATGCGCCACTACCCCCGTCCCCTGGGGATATACTGCCGTCGCGTCCGACAGAGGGCGCTCAGCTCCAGCTCTATACAAACGGTGTCGGTGGTCTCGGGGAGGGTGCAGAGTATTCTACAGAGGAAATCAATACCATGTTAGCTGAGTACTTTACTAACGAGGACTTTGCTAGTATCTCGCAACCCATGTACGAAGAACTCCCCTGCAATGAGCCGGAGCAAGCTCCCCAGCCGGAGCAAGACAATCAGCTGGTAGCTGCTGTCAAAACCCCCGTGGTGACGGAGGGTTGGCACAAACCCCGGAGGTCATCGGCGCCGCCGGTTCTAAGCGTCCAAAACGCAAGGATTAGGAAGAGCTCAGCCGCGAGTAGAAGGAACTCGAAGACAAAGGATAGACTAGTGGCTGAAGCAGACCTGGAAGAGTTGCACAAAGGCAGTTAAGGTTGAGAGGTGATGAAGCTTCACGACCGGCGAACCGCCACGAGTCGCTTGAATCACTACTCTCATCTATATCCTACTTTGCTGTGTGTAGTGCACACGGCAGCTGCTTCACCTAAAAGTTTTTCCTTTTCATTCTTCTTTTTTCTACCACTAGGTGTTCGCCTCTTCTCAATTGCATCATTTCTTTATTTACTCATTTTTAGCGTTGACATATATCAAGTAAATTGCATTTCGCATTTCAAGTCACGACATTATCTTGGCTTATTATGATGAAGCTCGTACAAGACAGACAGGTAACGTCAGGTAACGTTGCTCGATGGGGCATTATGTATATAGACTGTTTTAGGTTGCAGCAAAATGTAGTGCAACCTGACTTCCAATGACACAAAGCGTACCATGTCACAAGGTCAATGTCGTTTCGAGTGACACTCGAGTGCTAAAGGTTAAGCCGTTGAAGACAACCCTATGCAGATCTAGAGTGTGGTATTCTCTCCGCGAATAAGAGGTTTGAAGTGCGTTGATGACATCCTACGTATGTTTGTCCCAACAGGCAGGAATCGATATTTAAGTGGCCAGATTAGAACTCCAGGACGATGCTACCTGCTCACGATGCCATGGTATTAACCTCTTCGGCACTCAGGATGCGGCAGGTCTTGCCTTCGCAGAGCTGTACCACCTCCTTTGTCACATCCAAGTCCTTCAACAGCTGATTCCTGCTCTTCAACCACTCACACTTTGCACTACCGCCAACACGCAGCACCGTCCAACCGGGCCTCACAGTCCCATGTAACCTCTTGATAGCCGCACTGACAACCTCGCCCTCCCCGGCCAGCACCACACCCTTCAGCCCCACACGAGCCGCGGCGGCGGCACCCAACAGACCCGAGTACGCAGCAGGCTGTTTCCGCATATCCGGCCCAAATGCGGCGATCGTCTGCCTGCCCATCTCCCCGTACGCTGCATCATCAAGCAATGAGCCCAGCCTGAGGAGGTTCCCGGCGCTCACGCCGTTGGTACCCGGCTCCGCGTTGTCCGCAGCGTCCTTGGAGCGCACCAGGATGTCGGATTGGTCTGCGGGGGTGGAGAAGAAGCCATAGCCCTCAGTGTCCCAGAACAGCCGGACCTGCGTCTGCTGGAGCGCATCGGCCCACTCGAGGTGTGCGTCGTCGAATGTCGCCTCGTACAGGTCGATCAGGCCCGATATCAGGTATGCGTAGTCGTCCGCGAAACCCGGGGTATCACCGGGACCTTCGCGGTACACACGCCGCAGCGTGTTGGTCGCTGGGCTGAAGAGGTGCTCGCGGATGAAGCTCGCCGCTTTTTCGGCCGCGCCAAGGTAGGTCTTTGCATCGTCGGCTTTCCCGGCGGCTCCGAGCGCTGCGCTGGTTCGTGCAAGGCCCCCTATCGCCATGCCGTTCCATGCTGTAACGATCTTGTCGTCCAGTGCGGGACGGGGTCGGTGCTCAGTGCGGTATTTGAGCATTTTTGCACGCACCCGGTTTATAACCTCCTCGACTTGCTCCGTGGTCTTGCTGACAGATTTGGCCAGGTCCTCTGTGCTCATTTGTACACACAACGTGTTCATGCCTGTCAACTCACCCTGAATATCGTGCTGGCTGTCGACATTTCCATTGGGTTTAATATTCCAGTATTGCGCACAGAGCAGTAACTCATCCTTCTCCAGCAGAGCGTCCAGTTCGTCATAATCCCAAACGTAAAAGGCGCCTTCCTTTTTCTGCTGCTCAGCTGTCGAAGGTGCCGAATCCGCGTCTTCGCTCGCATGAATGCCCCCTTGCTCTGAGTTTATGGGAGGACTGGTAAGATATTTCGCAATATCGTGGACGGTATCAAAAAAGATGTCCTCGCCGTTCGACAAGAAGGCGTCGAGGTAGAGGGGCAGCAGTTGGGAATTATCATAAAGCATCTTCTCGAAGTGAGGAAGCGACCAGTCTTCGGTGACTGAGTAGCGAGCAAAGCCATTGCCAACTTGGTCCTTGATACCTCCCATTGCCATGCGCCGCAGGGTGTGAGACACCATGTCCTTGGCATCAGTGCATGCATCTTCACCCAAGGCGTCTTTTATTTCTTTGCCATACGCTCCCAGGCGAATGAGATGTGTCAGGTTTCCAGGGGTAGGAAACTTTGGTGCATGGTCGAAGCCACCGTGGATCTTGTCGAATTGCGCCTTGTAGTGCTGATACGACTGGGTGAGGAGCTCCAAGCTCGCGTCATTGTCGTCTTGTTCATCCTCCTCGGCCTTCGACTGGTTCGCAAACCTCCGCAGGGCTTCGGTGATCTGCTTCCCACTGTCCCTCACCTTGGCCTCGTTCTCTGCCCACATCCTGCCCACCATAATCAAGACATCTTCAAAGTTCATACTTCCGATATCGTCAGCCCCAGGTCCAGGCCAATACGTCCCTCCGAAGATTGGTTCCAGGTCTGGGGTAACAAAGACGTTCAAGGGCCACCCGCCATGACCAGTGGTCGCCGTTACAAAGTCCATGTACTGCCTGTCGATATCAGGACGTTCTTCCCGATCGATCTTCACAGGTATGAATTTCTCATTGAGCAGGAGAGCGATTCCGGGGTTGTCAAAGCTCTCGTGCGCCATGACATGGCACCAGTGACAGGCACTATATCCGATGCTCACGAAGAGCAGTTTGTTGTGACGCTTTGCAAGGTCGAGGGTCTCGGGCGTCCATAATTGCCAGGCGGTTGGATTGTCCTTGTGGGCGCGAACGTAGGGGCTCTTACTTTCGCTGCAGCGGTTCGAGAGGGACGCCATGGTCGATAGGGACCTATGATAGTTTGCTGAGATAGGAAGCACTTTGTAGGCTGCTTTTACTCGTCTGGGATGTGCGCTGAGAGGCCAAGGCCGTCTTGGAGGGAGCTGAAACGACCGTGGCTTAAAGACGGTCGCGAGACGCATATGCGCGGAGAGACGTGAGCCTCAAAGGTGACTGTGTGGATGCAGAATCGTCCCAGATGCCCAGGTCCAAGTTTAGTAGATCTGTAACTATCACGCCCTGGATGTTGTGGAAGGGATGAGTGTCGCCGTCCACAGCAGTCCAAATTTAGCATCGGCTGCCACTGTGGGCAGAACCTGGTCCGTAATTGTGAGGTCATTGACCGCTTTCCTTATTGGCTCATCCCAGCCCCGACATCACAAATAGAGTTCGTCTCTTGCTGACAGCTGACGACGACATGGCACGGCGGTCTGGAATATGCAGAGCTGATCTGGTGACATTGGTGACGCTCGAGTATCGACTCCGATAGTCAGATCTGAGAAAACGTTGAAGGAAGTGAGCCTTTGCATCTTTACGGAAGTGGTTTGTCCAGTGAATGTGCCTTCAGATATCGGTCTGCAGGCCCCAACGCCTGATCGTATCGATGCGTCTTGCTAAAAAGATGAGCTGGGATTATTCTATCTCACGTATGCCGCCGTCTGGTTCTTTTGAGGGGAAGACCAATATCTTGGAGCTCAAATGCAATTTTATGGCACCGGGTCAGTCAGCCATATATATGGATACTTCTACCCGGAATTTGTGGCTCAAACAGGGAAACCAATTAAATGGGGAGTAAGGAAGAAAAATGAGAGAATATATATATTCTAGACCCATGGTCTGTATTCAAGTGTCTGTGCTTGCAGTGGAAACCAGCAACATGAAGTTTCGAATAGGTTTGACCAAAGCCAAGGTGGACCTTCCTGAATTGATGCTGGTCACTGCATCCACCTGAGCAGCTCCTTGACAGTTTTTGTGGCTGTAAGGACTTGAGCTCTTTCCTTCCGCAGTACAAATCCGTGTCCGCTCTGGAAAGTAGATCTAGACGCTTTTGAGGCTCGAGGTAAGACGATAGCCACAACTTTCACTGCCACAAACACGAACATGTTTTCCTTTTCCTACACATCGTCTGTACTCCGTGTTTGGCCATTGCGAATAACAGTGACAAACGGACCTTTCCATGCCATTTCATTGGAGTGATTCCTGAGGCGAAGCCCACCGTTTTCGTGCAGCGCCAGGTTCTAATTCACTTCAGTCCCGCGATACGAATCATCCATGAGCAGCAGCACCTGACCTCAACTTCACTTCTTGTTCCCACAAAGCCATTCGAAGACCTTTCAAAAACTTCTCTGATTGCCAGGCAACCTCAGTCTTCCCTAAACTCCTCCCCCCCCCCCCACTCCTCCAGCAGACATTTCATGTCCATAGGATCGCTCACCAGAACACTCCTTTCTGTCACCAAGATGACGATCAAGCTCAGTACCATCTTTGTCATTGCGCAAGTGATCCTACTTGCTGCTGCCATGCCACCCAACTCCACCGACTCCACCAACTCGACAGGAAGGGCGACTGATTCTTACGGCTGCTTCAAGAAAGGCGAACTGTGGAAGGATTTGGGCACAAACGAGTCTATCATTCAGGCTTATGATGAACAGTGGTGCAAGAACAATGTGGGATTGGAGCCACTCGGTTTGAAGGTAAATAATGCAGCTGGACGCTGTTTGTATTGCACTTTTCAGCTGATTGATTCACAGGTCAATCTTTGCATACGGGATCAACCTATCAAACATGCTTTCATGTGGAAGTGGGAGATCACCGAGGTCCCTGACGGAAAAGACGAAGGCTTTATCTCCCATGTATGTGTTTCGACGGAACATTGCTCTTGGCTTTTCTTTGCGCATACTCAATCACAATTTATTCCATTGAAATGACAGACATGAACACCAATACAGAATAGTGACAGCTAACCTTACGTTCGACAGGACGTCTGCATCTGCTTCATTGCACAAGCCCTAAACATGTGCGAAAAGGGCGGGATCTTTGATTTGGTCTGCGGCCCCGGAACCGATGGAGGTGGTAAGTCCTTTGTAGAGGTGTCCCCAGTGAAAGATATCTTTCATTTATTGCATGAGAAGCAAATAGACCAGAGTCCTTTTCAAAGCCCTGTTTGATGACCACCCTCAGCTGCCAGGGATAGAAAATCCGTACTGACATATTCACAGACGTCATCGGTGCTCATATCCTTGCCGATCCTCAGGGGTCTTTTTCTTGCAATGGCTGAGACGATGAGAAGAGCCAATCCATTTCGGTCATTTGGAATCTCATTGGGAGGAGTCTGTCTCTCCACCAGGAGGGCACAAAGTATTAAATTGTGTGGTAGGAAGCGAGTCGGATATCGCAATACGCTGAGATGGCCTCACTCAAATAGGAAATGCTCTCATGCCCCAAGGTTCTGATGCTACGTGTGCTTGTGCGTGTTGGTAGTAACAGACAGCCACCTTGAGCCGTTACTGACATGGCCAGAGATATCAGCATGTTCGAGCCCTAGACGATGATTTTCCCTCATGCAGCCACTTTGTGCGCTTCAGACAGCATCTTCCGCTCACCATGTTCCAGTTTAACAGCTGCATCTGGATGAGAGCGGAAAAGGACAACCCGGCCCTGATGCACTTGTAAGCTTCTTGTATTGTATACTGTAATGCCCTGCTATATATGCTCAGAACGCGGAACCCTTGAACACGTCGCTTCTGTGCTTCACCTACAGTAGAACGATACTGGTTCATAGTCACTCAATGCAACCACGAGTTAAAAAGATCTCAAGTCTAGGTCTAAGTTCCTACAGCCACAGCATCTCACATGTATAGATTATTCAAATACAGCAACTTCAATGGAAAGATTCTCATATTTTCATCGTCTTAGGAGGAGGCAAGAAGTAGATAAACTCTTACGTAAGTACAATTCCCTACAGTAAGCTATCCTAACCAATTGGCCAATCTAAATCTAACACAAGATAAGAATGCGCACAACGGGATATAGAACCCCGCAAAGGAGCTACATCTCTACTCAACGACCTCTTCTTCGAGTATGCCCAAATACTCTAAGCGACCCTGGACATCTGCAAACTCTCTGCCCATGGTCTCCGCAATGAGCTCCGCATCGTCACCGGCACGAGAGAGGGAAAGAATCTTCTCGTCGTCTTCCGGAGTGAAGACTGGATCCTCCGGGCCCTGCTGCATGCGGTATATCATCGCAGCCAGGTTCTCTTTAGCCCGGGCCGTAGACTCCTTATTAAAGGGGCAGTTCTCCACGTTGCAATTATGCGTGTCCCAGAGGCTATGGTTAAGGAACTTGGCGTCGTTGGTAGCCAAATCCGCAGGGGGTTCTCCCTGAACGATCAGAGCTGAGCAGCCGGGGCATTTAGCAGCCAGAGCCCCTGCCTCTGCGGTAGACGTCCCCTCGTTCTGAGGGCACCCTACCTGGGGGCACACGCCCTGCCGCTCAGCCCACTCTTCTCGGGGGAGGGCCATGTCGTGCAGCTGCAGCTGGTGGGTCTCCCGTGAGGATGAGCGATAGAAGCGATACATGCGATCCGCTGAGTGCGGGCCACCACGCCACAAATGCAGCGATACTTCACTTCGAGACACATGTTGATTTCGCTTGGGTTTAGTCAATGTTTGTTTCTTCTGTATGTGGAAGCTCGATGGTTGGTGTTGGAGAGGTATGGTGAGTTTTGGAGATGTAGTAAGTGATACTGATAGCTCATGAGAACTCGCTAATTTGTGGGAGTTATCATTTTGCCAGGGAACAAGGCTATTATCTGCCATGCAGTCCATGTACAATGTTCGGGTTATTTGTGCGGTTTATTGCAGACAATGGAGAAGCTGTGAAGTCGACAAAGGCCATTGGATTCAACACCGTTGCGATGGACAATTGACTTCGTAATTTCAACTACAAGCTGTCCAGATAGTGACCGTCAATGTTCTGAAAGAGGCACTAAGATTTGAGGATGTCGAGTAATCAGCACGTCACAGCTGAAAGCGAAAGACCTGTGATTCAATCATGTTTAGTCTTCCCAGATGATGCGGATCACAAGTTGATGATCGATCCATACGTTCGCACATTTTATTCCGGGGGCTTGTTCATTGCATCTTATGGCAAGGATTCAATGTGACGAGGACCGAATGCCAGGTTTTCGACGTCTGTTGTGATATGCAAACCTGGGACGTTCCTCAGGTTGGTCTGGAAGAGCGCTTGGGTTTGTCTGTATCCTCTTGAGCCTCAACAAAGCCTTTGTCTACCTAGGTATGCCGCTGAACTCATCCTTCAGTGATGGTCAACAGCAATAGGTCCATGGACGACCCGCATACAAGCTATCAGGCACGGGCTGGAGATGAGCCTGGTGGCGGGATAATGCGATTATGTGGGCTGATATCGAGACATCAATCACACCAACACCAGCTCAAGTGGAGCAGGGAGGACAATCAGGCAAATGCACACGGGATGTTCAGATTCAAAGAAAATTGGCAAATTGGGCTTGTAAACTCAATGCCACCTGTTTGCGCGTCCACAGATGGGACAGATAATTGACATAGATGGCAATGTTTCATCAAGCCCAGATCCTCCTATCTTGACAGCGCAGGCAGACCCTGATGTCACGGTGGATTGGTTGACTTGACGAATGCAACCTCAGTTCGTGGGTTGCATGGATGTACGGTGACACTGGAGGGTGTTTGTATAGGGCGACCTGGAAAAGATTATCCATGTCGCTACAACGCCCCATAAAGGACATAACAATCTCCAACTAATCACAGCTTATAATTTATCCTTTTCTTAACTAAACTTATATTATTATAATATATTTAAGATATAATGTAAAAAATAAGCTACTTTTTTCTTTCTTATTTTTATTATTAAATTTATAAGTATCTTAAATTTTTAATTTAATTAAAGTATATGCTTTTTAATATAATATATATTGGCTGGGTTAATGTATATTTGTTAATAGCAGATTAGTTATATTTAAATTAGCTATATTAAAGGAAAAAGGGTTGCAATTATAAGCTGTAAAACCTCCCTTTAGCTATAAACTATTTAAGGGTAATTATATATTATTATATATAATCCTTGCTTGCTAATGCTTTAATGTTAATTACTTATAATGCTTATTATATTTAATGTTATTATTTCCTTATAATATGTTTATAATTATACTAGTAATCTTTAATTAAGTAATTAATATATGCTTTTAAAAAGTATATAAAACAAAAGTTAAATTAAACTTAAAACTGCTAAGTTTAAATTTATTAATTAATTAAATTAATTAAAAGTATATGCTTATTTAATTATATTAAGTGCTTATAAAAGGCAAGCATATAAAAAAGCTTAAGTTATTATTAAAGGGTTAAAGGTTAATTATTTTATTAAAATATATAATTAATAAATAAAGGTTATTTTAATAATTATATATAATAAATTATTTTAATTACGCTAATTAATAAAATAAAAATTATTACTTTTATTATATAAATATTTTATTTATAATATATTTTATAAATTTATGCTTTTATTATTTATAATACTTAAGTTAAAAAAGGATTAAATTAAACCCTTAAATTAATAATATTATTATTTAATTTTTAACTTATAATATGCCTTAATTTAATTTAACTTAAGTTTAATTATATTTAATCTTTATAATTAAATAAAAATTAATTAATTATAAAGAAATAATAAATAAAATAAGTTATAAAGGTTAATAAATATGGTATTTAAATAAAAGAAAAAAGTTAAATATAAGGGATTATTAAGAAATTATTTAATATTAATTAAGTTAATAAATAAAAATATATATAAAATTAATATATAAATATTAAACTGTAAAATTTAATTAAGAACGTTTATTAAATATATTATATAAGCTAGCAACTTAAGTATTTATAAGGGAAATAGCTTACATTATTACCCTTAAAAGTAAAATTCCCAATATATAAGCATTATTATTAAAATCTTAAATATAAGGTATTATTTTTAAAAGGGATATAATTAAAAGTTAATTAATTATATTATTTTATAAGGTAATTTATAAGCAATTAATAAAAGGAAATTAAACTTTTATTAATTTAATATATTTTTTGCTAATAAATATAAAAATTAAATTATTTTAGCAATCTTTTCTTTATAATTTTATTATAACTAAGTTAATTTATTACTTTTCTTTATTAATTTTTATAATAATATATTTCTTTAATCTTAAAAATAAGAAATAATATTATATTTATAACTTATTAAATAATATAATAATAATATAATGTTTTTACTTTATATTATATATAAAGTTAATGCAACCTTTAGTTATTAATTATTATATAAATAAGAATAATAATTTTAAGTTTAAATTTTAATTTAGCTTTTCTTATTTATTTAAGTAAATAATTATTTTTAATTAATATAGCTTTATATCTTAATTATAATTTTATTAATATTTATAAGTTGCTTAAAAGTTTTATTTAATATATTTTTATAAAGGCATTTATTAAGTTATAATTATTAATAATTCATTAAATCTTAAAAATTTTATATTTTTTATATAATTATTAAAATGCTATTAAATTAATTATAAGGTATTTTTCTTTAATTATATTAAGCTTAATTAAGTATTTATATAAAAAGTATAAATTTATATAAATTGTAAAAGAAATAATATTAATATTAAAATAAATAATACTTTAATATAAAATAATTATTAAAATAATATTTATATTAAAGCTATAAATTATATTATAAATCTTAAAAGCTAAAATGCTTTTAATAACTTTTTTATATTTAATAAAAGATTAATAAATAATATTATTATAAATATTTAATTTTATAAAGTTTTCGCCTTAAGTTTTATTAATAAAAATAATAATAAAGTTAATTTAAAAGCTAAGATTTTAATTATTAATAAAAGAATTATTAATAAAAATAAGTAATTTAATTATAATTAAGTTAAGTAATATATATTATATATTATATTTAAGATAATTAGCTTATTATTAAAGTTTTTTATTAAGCTTAATATAATTTTCTTTGCTTAAATTAATAATTTAAATAGCTATAAATAAGTTAAATACAGCTTTTAATTAATAAATAAAAGTTAAGTAAGCATTATAAGCTTATTACTTAGCATATTATTATTTTTAATTAAGAAAGGTAATTTAAATAAAGGTAATTTTTATGCCTTAACTCTTTTAATATATATTAATAATATTATTCTTTATAATAATAATCTTTATATTATTAAAGTTAAGTATTATTTTAAAAATAAGTATTATTTTTAACTTACATTAAATATTTATTTTCTTAATTTTATCTTTTTTTATTATTAAGAATATTAAAATAATAATAAAGTAAGTATTATTTATTTATATTATTATTTAAAATAAGGAAATATAAGTTATAAATAAAAATAATTATATTTAATTCCTTATAATAATATTTATAATATATTATTTATTAATATATATTAAACTTAATAATATTATATAAAAGTTTAATAATATATATAATAATATTAAAAGCATATTTATTTTAAATTTTTAATAATAACCTTATAAATATTATATATTTAAGCTTTAACTTTAATTATAAATAAGCTTAAATAATATTTTAAAGCTTAATATATATTCTTTATTAAAGAAGAAATAATATTAAAATAATGAAAAGTTATTAATTTAATTATTAAATAATAAGGAATTAAGTAAAAAAGTTTTTCTTATTATAATTATTATAATTAATTATTATAAGTTATAACTTTTTATAAGGTTATTTAATCTTACTCTTAACTTTATATATTATTTAAGATTTAAAGAGTTATATATTATTATATATTTTCTTATTATAAAATATAAACTTAAAAATATTACATTTAATTAAGTTTAATACTTTCTTATAATTAAATTCCTTAAATAAACCTTTAAATATAATAATTATATTATTTTATTAAACCTTTAATATAAGTTTATAATTATTTTTCTTATATTATATAATAAATATTTAATTAAAAAATGCTTAAATAATAAATATTTATGCTAAAAATATCTTAATAAAAGTTTTTAACTTATTTTTTATTTTTAAAGATTATTTTTATTATTTTAATTTTAAAATATTTAAATATATATTTAAAAGATTTAGCTTAAAATATATAATATAATATAAATTATTATTTAGCTATAAAGTTTAAATTATAATATTTTTTATTTTATTATAATAATATAATTATATTATTATAAATTAAAAGATTATTAAATTATTTAAAAAATTTAATATAAGGTTATAATTATTAATAATAAAAAGTTTATATAAGCTTTATTATTTATTTTTTTCTTATTATATTTTTATATTATTTTATAATAATAAAATAAAAGTTTTTATAATATTAAGTTTATTATAAATATTAAAAGCTATATTTATTTATTATTTAATATTTATTTTTCTTAAAAACTTTATTATTATTTTAATAATTTTAATTTATTTTTATATTAAAAAA